GTATATTTCCTTATGTATAAAGGCCCAGAAGGACTGCATTAGAATAGAAAAGGGAAAAGGTTCAGGATAACTGTACCAGAGAATAACCCAAACAAGTTATTTTCTCTATTTGGGGAATAAGTTTTAATGTAGATTGAGAAGATTTAATTTACTGTTTTCCAAATTTCAAAGTCTTCTGTCAGAGACTGTTCCCAAAAAAATGTGCTATTTGGGACTTTGAAGGCACTGCTTTATAAGACCCAAGATTGATAGAATATTTCACATACACTAGATTGGTACTTAATTATTTTATTGACAAAGAAATATTTGTAATCATGTGCCTTCAGAGACCCAAATAACATTTTTTTGAACTCCCCTTACCAACTGTTTCACCACATAAATGCAATTTCAGCTTGGGGAAAAATTTCAAATATTATTTAAGCAGTAAGTGAATTGGTAATTTGGTTGTTGAATAGATTAGTTTTGTTGATATTTGCTGTTTAAATTGAAAGTCACAGAATGCGACACATAGGGATGCTTATCAGGATGCAACACCATAAACCATTTGTATAAAGCTTTCTATTCAGAAGACCTCATTTTTGTCTCGCCTTTACGGAGTCAAAAAGCGAGACATAGGTATGCTGTGTCAGGCGGCAGAGGCAGTGGCGTCAACAATGTATTAGTTTGTGATAAGGTCTAGTTTGTGGTGAACCACAAGTGGTAGGTCAATGTTATTTGGTATGCAGTTGCATTAGCATTCAATTTGGATTATCTCATTTCCATGGAGATTATTTGACCCTGCCCCCTCAGTCATGGTCTATTGACTTTGAAACTTTTACTTAGTTTACATGTATTAGTTTGTGATTAGGTCAGTTTATGGGGAACCACTAGTGGTAGGTCAAAGATATTTGGTATGCAGTTGTATCATCATGAGCATATCTCATTTCCATGGAGATTATTGGGCCCTGCCCCTCAGTCATGGTCTAATGACTGAAACTTTTTGATTAGTTTACATGTATTAGTTTGTGATTAGGTCAGTTTAAGGGGAACCATCATTGGTAGGCCAATGTTAATTGGTATAAAGTTGTATAAGCATTAGTACATCTCATTTCCATGGAGAATATTTGGGCCCGACCCCTCAGTCATGGTCTATTGACTTTGAAACCTTTGCTTAGTTTACATGTATTAGTTTGTGATTAGATCAGTTTATGGGTAACCATTATTGGTAGGTCAATGATATTTGGTATACAGTTGTATTAGCATTGGCACATCTCATTACAATGGAGATAATTTGGCCCTGCCCCCTCAGTCATCGTCTATTAACTTTGAAACTCTTGCTTATTTTACATGTATTAGTTTGTGATTAGGTCAGTTTATGAGGAACCATTAGTGGTAGGTCAATGATATTTGGTATGCAGTTGTATAAGCATTGGCAAATCTCATTTCCATGGAGATTATTTGGCTCAGCCCCCTTATTCATGGTCTATTGACTTTGAAAATTTTGCTAAGTTAACATGTATTAGTTTGTGATTAGGTCAGTTCAAGGGGAACCATTAGTGGTAGGCCAATGTTAATTGGTATTCAGTTGTATAAGCATTAGCACATCTCATTTCAATGGAGATTTTTGGCCCCATCCCCTCAGTCATGGCCTATTGACTTTGAAACTTTTGCTTAGTTTACATGTATTAGTTTGTGATAAGATCAGTTTAAGATGAACTGCTAATGTTAAGTCAATGATATTTGGTATGCAAATATATTGGCATTTGTAAGTATCGTTTCCATGGAGATTATATAGCTCCACCCCCTTTTTCATGGTTCATTGATTTTGAAACTTTTACATAGTTTACAAGTTAATGTTTGTGTTTAAAGGGAACAACTTATAATACGTCAATGATATTTGGTATGCAGTTGTATTAGCATTGGCGCATCTCATTTACATGGAGATGGTTTAGTCATGTACCTCAGTCATGGTTCATTGACTTTGAATATTAGCCTAACTTGTTAAGTATTGCCATTTTAATTTCAACTTTTGCATTATCAAAATTACAAAAAAGCGAGACATATCTCTGTGATAACAGTTAATAGTAATAGGGTCTTTTTTCAGAGACCATATGCATATTTGATGTACTTTGGATTCATTTATTTTCGTGGATACCAATTTTCATAGATTGAGGACAACTTGTATTTTTTATGATTTACCAAAGTCTGTATACCAGCCTAATGGTTTACTTTTTTTGGGACTTGGATGGTGAGTTGTCTTATTGGCACTCATACCACATCTTCCTAATAAGTTCTTATATCTATTTAGAAAAAGTGTTCTTCATAGTACTTTAATTTCGTGGTTTACCTATACCCATAAAATCCAAGAAAATTGATATCCCATGAATAAACATGAAACCACAGTATTATATGATAGTAAAGTATATACATGCCTGTCGGTAGGGTTAAATGGATCAATGATAATGTGAATTAGACAATAGATTGGTTAGCCAAATTTGGACAGGAATGTTGTACAGATTATCCAGTATAAACTATCCTCATTTCGTTCCAATTTGATGAACATGTCCATTAGTGGCAATCTTTTATGAAGATTTGGCAATATTTTTTTTTTTTCTGCATGGGGTTTCAAAAGATTTTTACTGGACATAAGAAAAGTAATAACCAATCAAAAAGATTTTATTTGTGGGCTCAAATGGAATTTCAATAGTTCTGTGTGATAAAAACATAGACAAATATGGTTATGATCGGTATGAGAAACCTTAATCTTTTAAAAATCAAACCTTTTTTAATAAAGTTTGAAAGGAGTTTTCCGCATTTTAAGAGGCTTTAAGCAGCCATTGTTATCAATTGTTATTTGTTGAATCTGCAACCTTAAAACACAAGTTTGACATCTACAGATCCCCTTACAGACTTTGCGAGTTCAACAATCATTTAGCATGCACATTATTCTTAAATTATTCTGTGTCTATGCTAAAGAACAAACTCAAAAGCGATAACCAAATATCTGTGCCATGAAATATTTGCCACTGGATATTAAGGAAACCATAAGTAATCAACTACCAGGTAAATGTCTGCTTCCAAGATAAATTTTTCACACACAAAAAATAATATAAGGTGAATGCAACCATTGTAGATTCCTGACTAGGAGCAGGCAAATTTAAAATATGTAGTTTGATTAACAAAGTTTAGTGAGCACTCAACCCTTCACTTTTATCTTTAAATCATTGTTAAAAGAAAAGACATGGAGAAAAACACCATAAACATCAGCACATAAAAAGTACATGATTCCCTAATAATGATATTACAGACCACCGAGTTGTAACATGTAGATCAATACTAAAAAGATTGCAGCCAGTTTCTTAACACAAAAAGTACTGAGCTTGCTGATATAGAAATCCTGTCTACTGAAGATTTCAAACTATAGTATTGGCTTCTGAACTTCCAAGTTGATTTCATACATTATATAAAAGGGTAACCTTTATCTTTATTTCATTTAACTCTGCTGACATAGAGTAAAGGCAATGGAGGATTTTATTTCCAATCCAAGTCAAACTAAAGAGTTTAAGACTCAAAATTCTGTTGAGAACACTGCAGTTTAGCAGTATGACAAGACTGGTCAGTACAAAGTCAAAATAATGGGTCTGGGTATGATTACATATCTTCCTTTTGACTGCTACCTGATGAGCTAGTACTTTTAATAATATTTCATTAAGTGGGATGTTTAAGTGCAAAGCAAGGTATATTCATATCACATTAACATTATTATCTCATCTGAAGCTTTAAACAAAGCAACATCTGTTCATCCATGTGACACTTTATAAGAAAAAAACATAAAAGAAAAAAATGATTGAGTGCATAAGAACAAAAGGACACCTATTTATAGCATACAATGTATGGTATGTGCTACACATGAATAACTTTTATAAAATGGATTTAAAAAAAAAAAAAATTCTGAAACTGAATCAGGTGTGATCTAGTTTAATATAATATCTAATGAGGTGAAACCAGTACCTTAAGGTTATTAGGTTTGGTCCTTAGAAGATATAACATAAAACGACAAGCTGCATTGCATCCTTACTGAAAATATGCAGAATGAATAATAAGCACCCAAGTTCACCCAGTTTTTAGTGTTGTTTGTGTTGTTCAATCTTTAGCTTTTCTGGGTAGTAATTTATAGATTGTTGTTTGTTGTCTTTTCATATTGGCCATCGTTTGTCTTTTTTTGATTATCTTACCTTCTCTCTATCTGTACAAGGAACCAAGAACAACAAAAAATAGTCACTGCAGTGGATTCATTTTTTCTCTTGGGATACTAATTTTTCTGTGAGTATTGTCAATCAGAAATTTAAATATTGGATTGAAATTATATTTTATTTACTTTGGTATATCGGAGCAAATGATAAAACAGTAAAGTGGGAAATTTTAGTGAGGTGTTTATTTTCACAAATTTTACAAATGAGAGGAATTCCTGGAATCGGAACAGGTTTTGGCCTATAAATCGCAAAATTCTAAATCTGCGAATATGAACCACTTAACAGTATATGATATATTCTTCATAAAGCTGCATACTCAAAAGTTATGATCAGTGCCATTATTGGAGCAGGATCTGTTAACCTTTCTGAGAGATTTACCGGTATATCTTTACATATTGTTTAGACTTGATTTTTTGCTGAAAACTGCATTTTTAACTCCAGATGTGTTTTAGTTTTTTGTCATTGGGTTGCTGTCTTCTTAATAGCTACCCAACATTCCCTTTTATTAATAGCTACCCAACATTACCTTAAATTCATAGCTAGAATTAGAAATGGGGAATGTGTCAAAGAGACATCAACCCCACCAAAGAGCAGAATTCACCCGAAGGTCACCAATGAGTCTTCAATACAGCGAGAAAATCCCACACCCGGAGGCGTACTTCAGCTGGCCCCTAAACAAAAATATGTACTAGTTCAGTATAATGGACGTCATACTAAACTAAACATAACTAGAATTTTTCAATACTTTCAAAAATAAAAAAAAAAACATTTTAGTTTGATTTTTTAATGTCTGCAATATCACATCAACAAAAAGCTGTACAGATCACAACTGTTGCCATGGCAACAATACATAAACAATAACATCTGAGGAATATTGCACATATTTGTATACTGTTATGTAAATACATTTTGTAAATAAATGTGTAATAAAATAATAAACAGCAAATAATATCATTGTACTATTACCATCACAAGTTTTAAGTTATGACTACTAAAATATATGTACCATGGTATAAAAGGATTTACTGGTACACCCATATAGAGTAAAGGAGTGGTCAACGTCATGGTTGTTAAATTTCTTTATTTCTGAAAAATCTGATATTCTTGAAAGTCTTCATCAGGATTCAATAGGGACACAAATGTTTGTTTGATGGACCTATGTAAGATTGTACATTCTAAATTCATTGGCCCAAAATAACTGGATCTATGGAACATTATGGAACACTGTATTTCTTGTTAAATCAGCTAGTTTTTGCTTGACAGGAATCCTAAGCTAACCCAAATTACAAAGAACAAAACATTCCATAAAGAGTTTTCACATAACAGTCTTATGGAAAAAGTTTGATATATAAAACTTATCCCATTCTCAGTAGTTCATTTTTCTATTTTCTTAATCTTACTAAAGATAAGACTTTCCAAATTTCTGGCCTTAATCAAGATAATGTCCTTTACTTCTGCATTCTTTCCTTGTATGGGTTAGGCTATATTTTTGTTTTTTATGGTTTTATCAGATTGTCAAAATTTATTTAAGGTTTTGGATTTATCAAATATTTTGGCTTTGAGCATCACTGTAGATACATTGATTGTTGAAATGTGCATCTGGTGCAGTAACGTTGGTACGGTTTATGTTATTACTACCACAGGGTCAATACCTCTTCTGGTGGACTGTTAATTCCCAAGGGAACCACAGCCTATTCAGCAATGGCATAAAAATATAGGTATTGTATTATCTAAATATGAAGTTATAAAATTTTGAAATCGTTTAAAACCTTTTGAGCTATATAAATAAACATCTGAACTTTGCAAACATTGTAAACTTTCGAAACTGTTTCCATCTCGTAAATTTTTATTTTCAGAAAATTTAAATAAGACTGGTCTTATGTTTTTTCGTACTAATGAAAATTTCATAATATAAAGTTAATCATATTATTATTTATTGTTTAATTTTTCTTTCAAAAATTATAAATATTTAATGATTATTTTGATTACGCTCCAGATACTTTATATGTTTTTCTTCTAATTGGTTTCAATCGGTACACTTCGTCAACTCCTATAAATGCATTGTCTTCAATGAACACAAATTGGAAATCATAAACCAGACAATAATCTGTTTAAACAAGGTCAAAAATACAGCCAGGTAAAAGTCACAAATATAGCCAGGTACAATATATTTGAGTAGTCAAAACTAAATGGAATTCTTGTCAAAATTTTCAGAAATTAAACAGTACTACAGGATTTCTGTTTCAAACCGTAAAAAAAAAAAATTCAATATCTAAGTTGAATAATTGCTAACTAGTATACTTTCAAAATTTCTTATGTTCAAAATTAAGTGATTATTGATATAACTATATCAGAATTCAGGTAGATATACTTGAATTACAATGATGTCAAAAACAGTATGCCACTGTGGACGAAATAACTTGAATTTTGTTGTCATACTTTAATAATTTAAGAAAAAAAAATTACAAAAACTTCGTCAATAAATACACTTCAATGACAACTTGAAATTAGACACACAATAGTAAATTGAAACCAAGTTCAAAATGAAAGTAGACGGATTTCAGATTTTTGTATTTTCAGTTCAAATCAACTAAAAATATTTTTCACTTTATACCAAGAATCCAACTCAAAACGATAACCTACAAACTAAATAATGTTTGAAAGTAACAAAATATTTGTTTCATGCATGATACAGACAAGAATATAGATTACATTGGTATTAATTCTATACATGTTTAACATATTAAATATTATTATTAAAATTTAATACAAGTATAGGGTTTCTGATATAAAAATTCACCAGATTACAAGCTATCACATTTCTATGTAACATTGAGTGCCCCCTGTAAACGAAAAAACAACCTTGTAGAATACAAGGTCATTACTTAACCTTGACATTTTTCAAGGTCATTACTTAACCTTGACATTTTTCAAGGTCATTACTTAACCTTTAAAATTTCAAGGTTATTGCAAGAAGGCACTGTTTGTACATAGACTTAGGGAACTGTCAGCAATGACAAGATTGCCATACAGTATTATATTTTCTCTTTTTGAGGAGTTATCTTAAAAAAAAATTATACTCATTTTTTTTTTAACTTTTTTATTAATATTATCAATCTAGGTGTTATATGACTTTCCTTCAAATTTTCAGTCATTCTGTAATGAACTATTTAACTTTTATTCACTTGGATTTTCCTTTCAAGTACAAGTTTAGGTGTTTATGACGACTTATAATAATATCTAATTTTTTTCACTGCTACACTACTTCCTTTAAAGATATAAGCTTGCAAAAATATAAAGAAAACAAGCACCATGCAAATAATACCCATTCAATTTATTTTCATTTGTGTTTTTTAGCTGAACCTTCAAGGGGAGACAATTAAATAACTATCTCCCTTGGTAATGACATGACACAGAATTTTGATTTCTAAAACACTTATAAGTAGTTCTTATTTGCTGTTTCAGAGTCTAAAGGATTATGGATATTTTCATTGTTAGTACACCAAAATTAAAATAATATGGCGCCATTGGTCAAATGTCCATGTTAAAGAGTTTTCGAATTTTAAAATCTTACACAAAATGCATTTAATTCTGTAACAAGAAATCCTGAAGAACTAGAGCACCCATATTTCTAAAACAGTTCCTTGTGCGTTTGAGAAATCAAAGTTCAAATGTATATTTTGTGTGGTTGATGAAATTTTCATAATTTTTTCTTTTTTCATTCAACTGGAATTCTTTAATTTAAGAGGTAGATTTATCTAATGACTATTTGCTTGTTCATGATATGTAAGCAACAAATAAATCACTGAAAAAAAATCACAACACTAGCATACATCAAACTGTCTCCTGTTTAATAATAGCAAAAAATCCTTATTCAAGCAAAAAATAATAAATAAAATATAATTTTTGTGATGGAAATTTTCCAGCAATATATATGAACAGGTTATGCACAAACTGGCATTTAAAATTAAAAAAAAAATTAAAATACGATGCAACATAAATCCTTAATCATTTTAGATTATTTTTTCTTAATTTCAGAAAAAATAACTTGTTTTAACTGTTATCTGTACTTAATACACAATTGAACACAATTTACTACATACTATTTTCATTAATAAATTAACATTTACAATATCTACATTAAAAGCTTGGTAAAAATTATTTGGCACATTTAAGCTTAAACTAATAATTCGAAAATTCTGTAACTATAACTAAGAAAAAGAGTCAAAAACAAAACCTATAAGAAAGTGACAAAAGTATTAAAGAATCTGTACCATAATTGATCATGTGACTTTAAAAAGACCAGAATGTCATTCAAAGATTTACAACATAACCTGGATAAATGTAAGATTTCACCGTCTATTCTAAGCATATAAGTTTGCATTGAAATGTTTACATTAAGTTTCTACCACATAACCTTGTTATATTTTATCCATTCAAGATAGTTAAATTTTAAAATTTTAAATGCAGGAGTGGATTAATATTGTAGTCAACAGGTTAAAGGGTTAGAAAATGTTTTTCTAATGATTTAATGGAAAATGCCAAATGCAATGAAAGGAATACATATCACTGCAAATTTAATTAACATTTGGTTTATCATAATTTATCAAACTGTTAAGAACCTGTTTAAAAGAATACAGAAATATTCCGTACAACAGTTGTGTTCATCATTGTAAATATATTATAATATAAACATAATTTTCAATACAGTACAGATAACTTAATAATTAAGTTCAAATGAAAATCTTAGTCTCCAGGTCTGGACAACTACTTCATGAGGGATTCCCCAAACACTATTACTAAAGATTAAGCATGAAACAAAATGTATCTACATAAGATAGCCTGTTATACACAGCTTAAGATTTGAATTTGATCAGAGATGTTTAATGAATGTAATAACATTAACATTTGTTCAAGACTGGCTAAGAATTTGAACATGAATGAATGCACCAATATAGCAAGACAAAGTCAGCTTCATAGAAACATTGAAGTCGGACAACATGTATCATCTTTTCCACAGAAAAACTTGAAACCACTTTGAAATATTCTATTTTTGCTATGACTATCAATGTGGGCATCTTTTTTTTTAACAATTTAGTCTTTAAAAAAGGAAGGTAAATTTTTCCAGAAGCTATAACCTTACAAAAGCGTCGAGAGGAGGGCTATAAAAATTATACATTTTTATAAAATGCCTTTTAAATGCAATGCGATATCTTACATCTATGCCCACATTCATAGAAATATTTAGCTGTGCCTAAATCTGTCTGTATTCACAAATTTGAAACCAATACTCATATCACAGCAAGCTTGGAATGACAATTTTATCAGAGTTGTATTTGGCCATTTTGTTATAGTAAAAGGTTGACTCAACAAATTGCTTCTTTCTTTAACCAACAAGAATAAACTAGCAAAATATTATGATACCAAATGTATGTTAGATATATTCTTACTGGGAAATCACGGTAATTCATTGCAACCAATGTAATAATTAAGTATATCACTCAAAACATTTAACAAAAGTGAATTTCAAGCAAAATTGTTCTCAGTCTCTAAATCAATGCAATTCTTGTTTTTACCCATGAAATAACTAACCAATTAATGCATTGACTTTATATAATTGCATGTTACATTGAAGAATATTTTGGTTAATAAATTGACAAAATGAACAACAATACGAGCTACAATGTATATTTCATATAGACTACTCTATCTGAAAGTGAAATACAAGACTAAAGTTTACAAAACAACAGTCGATATTTAATTTCTATAATTTATGATTTTTTATTACAATGAAAATATACGATGAAAAATTACACCACAATTTTGTCATGTAGAACTAAGAAGTCATGTTAATCAAATTTTCGCTTGTTTTAAGTTTGGGAACTTTCAGAAGCTAATTTTGAACTATAATGATTTTATACACTGCGTACCAGTGCTGAGTTGATAAAAACAATAGCATGTAATATGCAGGCTAATATAATACCTTTAAAACATGCATTTAGATTTAACATGTTATTCAAATGTTGCAAATCTTTTACCTATCTATTTAATATACAGACATTTTAAAATAAAATTCAATTGATTACACAAAAACTGAAATTCATTTGACTTCTAACTGCCAATAAAAATTCTGTAGAAACAATACAGATTTTTATTTCACATTGGAGTGGTGTATGCATTATCTAAAGATAATACGAAATTATTTAATGATACTTCTTTGCATGACTTTCAGAATTTTAATCAAATCATATCTGAATTTTACTAGTCTTTTCTCACACTTACAAATATCGCTGATCATAAAAAAATGCTGATTTGAATAATATAAGAAACAAATATTCTAAGATATTTGTTCTTAAGCAAAATATACCAATAAGATATATATGCAATTAAGTAGACTTGTACAGTTTTGTTTCTAAAAAAAATGGTGAAATATTTAAAGACATTCCTTTTTTTCTCTTAATTTTTGTAACAATTTTACTTGAAGTAATAACAATAATAATATTAAGATGAAATATTTACAACATTAATCATTAAATGATAACAAAATGTACATAATATTAATAACAACTGATATCTCTGTTCTGAAATTTTCGTTTTTATACAAAACTTTTTAGCACCTTGCAGAGTTACTTCCCTTAAAGGAGTCATGTCTTTCCAATTTAATAAAATTAAATCCCTGATTCATATTCAATGAAAAATAACAATTCCAGGAATTTAACCATTGCAAACTGTCTTTCTTACATCAACTACTGTGAAAGAAATTTCATTCAAGGAATATAGTTTTAATGTGTTCTGTGGTTGATAAAAACCTTGTATTTCAATAGTGCATTTTTTCAAGGAATTTGAGCAAAGACTGAAACCATAATGACTTCAAAAACTATAAGAATAGTAAATCATAAATAAAGTTACATTGATATTTTACACATCACAGACATAAGAAGATTTTAAAGTTGACATTATGAAAATGGATCTAATATCAGTAGATTCGAATAGTTCCATATCTTCCCTCTTGACAAACAAATACATTCTTGCCAATTCATCATAAGACAAAATATTTTCATAAGGAAAACTTTCTGAAATTTATACCTCCAGACTGGAGGATTACATACTTTGTATAACATTAACTTTCCATGTTCATTCATATATTTTTATTTACAGTCAAACCTGCTATAAGGTAACTCCTTAATTAATGAAAAACTGGTTTTGTCCAGTCCAACTGTAGTAATACTGGTGTATTTTCAACCTCAATTCAAAGTCACCTCTCTTATGAGGTAATTTTTCTCAGATCAATCAGGTGACCTTTAAATGCAGGTTTGACTGTACCTTATCAAGAATTTTCAGAACAGAGATATATAAATTCATAATCTAATGATTTTTACATCAAAGCTTAGCTTCTATATTGCACATAACACTGAAATATTGAGATCACATGAATACAATATCTTATCTATCATGATTTTGTATTTACAATTAAAATGGAATTTCCACAAATCACAATGACGATTTAAATTAACTGCTGTTCTGTAATAATCTTTCAGCCAATCAAATCAATGTTCTATAAATATCACTCAGCAACAAAATCTTCCTTACAAAAGTACAGGGTCTTTACGTCTAGACAGAGTAGACCTGAAAATATATTGATGATGTAATAAATTATAAAATATAATATATAATATAATAAATACAATCCTCATAAATTTTACTACATATAATATGCAAAACAATCTTTCTGTATAGTGGTTTCCTTATTTGCTTTACACGATAAAAATTTACACACTGATGGGATTGGAAGAAAACCCACAGAATTAATTGCAAAAATATAATTTTTGAGCTGGTTTCAAAGGAAGAAAGAAGGGTTGTTAAAATTTTTTGGAAGTTTAAATTAAAACCTCATCATCCTTACATTGTTCATCCTGATGGCCTTCCAACCCTCTATAATTTGTTTGGAATAGCCTCAATATCAGACTTGAATTGACTGGTTCCTTACCTGATCTGGCCAGCCAGAAGAGGATTAATAGCATATAACCAGTCATGGAAATCTTTGTCATCCAATGTCTGCATCAGGAATCCACGGTGTTTTGTTAACACTGAGAATGTATTCCTTGTCTGCAAAATAATTATAATCTTTTTATTGTACAAAACAGTTTTCTGTAACAAAATATATACAGCTGGTTAACAATTAATGATTATATAGAACTTTGAATCTTTTTTGTTTGTTTGATTTAACATTCTTTTCATTGAATCATGTCACTAGTGCCAGAGAACAACCCTTAAATTTGTGTTCCATTAAAACAATTTTAGTTCTCATTGCTGGCAATATTCATTCATCTCTAATCCATGTACGAAAGTAGAAGTAATGTAATTATATCACTGACAGCAGAAGATCAATAAAAGCAAACGTAAAAGTCAAAATATGGCATAAAAGATGGTCTATGTTCAATAATGTTGCAAAAAGTTCACAAAAATGCTGAAAGAAATATACAGACTATAGATTTACTGACATTACCATAGTTTCCCTGTTTGGACAAAATATATTAAGAACCAATGAAAAAGCTGAAGTAACTGACAATGCATATTTTTCATTTTTTTTTTCCAATCAAGAAATTCTCTGAGCTTATTGAGAGAGCCTACCTTTAAGAGAGACTGTTGGTCTTCACTGTACTCTATCTGTGAAGTGGCTAGGTTTATAATGGAACGTTCTACTGGATCCTTCTCACTATTATATATGTAAATATAAGGACGTCTAACAACCTGTAAATACATTTCAATATTTAAATCAGAAAATAAAAGATCATTTTGTACAAGATCAGATTATCAAAAGTTTAGAATAATAAATTGTTGACAAAAAGATATGTCTCGTCATTTTGTAATGGAACAACATGCCTAAATCTTGCATATTTTTACTTCATTGAGGTGAGACAAAAAAATAAAACTACACCACAAATTAGAACATAAAAAGTAAAAGTTACTCAAAATCTTCCAAATGTGAAAAAGAAAGGACAAATGTCAATGAGACAGCAGCAATCATCCAACAAAAAGCAGAAAAACTACTTTTAACAAGCATTCTGAGCATGGCAATACATAGTCCCCTACCGGTTAAAAATATTGTACTGGGACAAATTTCTAACTTTATCTTTAACTTTTCATGGTGTAAACTATATAAGAAATATCAAGTCAATAACTTCAAGCATGACGAAAAAAAGGGTGGGAAACTGATTCTTTAAGTGAATTTTCAAAGTCCAAGGACCATTACTCTGCACAAAATCATCAGACCGAAACAAAATTCGAACTTGATTTGTAACTTGACATGATAAAACTATATATCAATTATCAAATCAATATCTTCAAGCATGATGAAAAAAAGTGTGGAAAACTGATTATTTGAGTGAAATTTCAAAGTCTGCACAAAATCATTAGAATGGAACAAAATTCCAACTTGATCTATAACTTGTCATGATAAAACTATATACCAATTATCAAATCAATATCTTCAAGCATGGCCAAAAAAAGTGCAGAAAACTGATTATTTGAGTAAATTTTCAAAGTCCAAGGACCATAACTCTGCACAAAATCATCAGACTAAAACAAAATTCAAACTTGATCTGTAACTTCTCATGATAAAACAATATACCAAATATCAAATCAATATCTTCAAGCACGAAGAAAAAAAGTGTGGAAAACTGATTTGCCGGATGGACAGACAGACAGACAGACAGACAGACAGACAGACAGACAGACTAGACAAACAGACAGACCAGACAGACAGACAGACAGACAGACAGACAGACAGACAGACAGACAGACAGACAGACAGACAGAGTGCAAACCTAAAGTCCCCTTCGACTTCGTCGGTAGGGGACTAATAACTGTTAATCAAACCACTTTCCTACTCTTAGTTAATTCCTGGATTTATTAAGCTGCTGATTAACTTAATAACTGCATATTTTTTATCTAATATCAAGAAGAAAAAAATTCTTGTTCCTATTGGTCCACTTATATGTTTGACTTACCACCCATTTTTTCATCCATCCACTGTGCTTCTCCTCCAAAAAGTTGAGGTAGCCTTTCTTGGAGACAACAGGACTAACTCTCACTTCCTCAATGTAAGGAACATGTAATCTGTCATCCCCATCCCCACGGTTAGGTTTTATGGGTAATGACAACTTCCTGTCATTGACATCAGATGAGGAAGAGGATAATAAACTATCACATGACTTTGACAGTTGGATTGATGGCTGACCTATATTTGGTCTGAAAGTGAAAGTGATAACGATGAAACTGATTGGATGATAAACTATGTAACATCAAATTGAAATTCTGAGTTATTTTTTACCTAACCAACTATAGTATAAACAGCAATGTGATGTATTTTTTTTTCTTTTATAAAATATTATTCAGACTTGCTGTAACGTTCTGAGAAATTCAAAATTTTAGAAGAGGCTAGAGGTACATTTTGTATATTTTCAAAAACAACAAAAATAACATACTGTGGATTCATGTTGCAAATTTTCATAGATTTCGTGGGTACAGGTAAACCTCAGATTTAAATGTTCATTGACTAACAAATTTTCTAGAGGCTTGTATGCTGACTTTGGCAAAACTAAAAAATCAGATATCTATGAAAATACAAAAACTTTTACAAACAAAAATTAATGAATCCAGTTACTAACATTTATAAAGAGCTGATTAATTTATAGACGTAGGCATTCATTTTTATAAGTTGTGATGCAGGTTTCTCGCAAATAAGAAAGGCCTGAAAAGCTAAATTAATCTTTTATTTGACTTTCTACTTCAACAAGTACAAAAAGTGAACAACTTAATCAAAATTAAGTTATAATAACATTAACGGTACCAATTTTTCTGTAAAATATATAAAATACCAATCACAAATACTCACAAAATGACCAACACTCACCTAAACATTTCTGATGAGGCAGATGATGTTATCATACTACTACCCATAGAATCTGTCACACTGGTTATAACATCACTGTCACTGGAGGCTGAGGTTATACTTATAACAGACTCATTCATTGGGGTCTAAAATAGATTAAATATGTCATAATATGCTCCTTTTACATGAAAATGAAGAAAAAATACTGACTCTATGCAGTTTGCCATCCACATTTCTTTTCTTGAAAAATTGTGTGCAAAACAACTGAATAATTTTAGCTATTTACATAATCTCATCAAATATAAAATTTTCTATTTCAACATGTAGATAATTTTCCAATCCAAAATACTCTTAAAAGTTGATGTTTAACAAGGAAAATCAAGAAATTTAACAAAATATATTAATTTGCGCTTGATTTGTTGCCATGGTTACTGGTCAATTGTTAAATTTGTTTCTATTTTCTTAACACCTTTTACTTTAGCATTGTTATATATTATATACATGTAGTAACTTTTAAATATGCACTAATATTTAGGTCAAATAAGGGCCTTAATGCCCCTTCTCCTTTGTAATAGACCACACTGACCTTGACTGGAGGGGGACTTGCCGGTAATCTTCCATACAGGATCAACCTCAGACATTTGGCCATCAGTTCTTTGTCTTTATCTCCATCTGTTGTAAATATGTACAGACTACTACATCTCTTGGTTTTCTCGGCTTCATCTTTCTCCCATTTCTCCATCGATTTGTCATCTGCCTTTTCTTCAATTTTCTCAGTTTCATTTTCTTTATTTTTTAAGTTTTCTTTGGCTTTTGCTTTGTTTGTGACTTCTTTGTCAAGTTTGCTTAGTTCTTGTGATTTGTTTTGTTCGGCAAGTTTTTCACGGAGATGTAACACATGTCTGCACCTCTCCACCTTAAAACAGAAAAAGAACACAAAAATTACATACCAGGTTAAGAGGATGCTTGACAAAAATGTACACATTTCATATTTTGTATTCCGTCCATTGAGTTTTATAGCCTCAAAGTCACCATTTGTTATCAGAAAATTGCTTTGTTTTTTTTTTTTTAAAGTAAACTTTCTCTCAGTGTGTTATTGCAGAAATGAGTAGTATTAGTAAGGCAACATTTTCAGTCAAATGATGTTCCACTCTTGAAAGTAACAGTATGATAAAAATAAGAAGATGTGGTATGATTGCCAATGAGACAACTCTCCACCAGAGACCAAATGACATAGAAGTTTACAACTATAGGTCACCTTACATCATTTTCAAGTTTTGCTACAAAACTTTCTTGCCCTTAATTGGTCTCCTGGTGGTTATCATGATTGGCTTGAATGCCTTCAATTGTAAACGCTAATAAAAAGCAGGATAGAACAAATGTATGTATAGTTAAATCATTTCCCGAAAACACTGAAAAGGACTAAAATATATTCTGATTTTTTCTTAAGGTCAATATTTTCCCAGAATTAACATCTCACCAATATCAATAACAAAATTATATGTTAAAACCTTACCATTTCTAATCTTGTGAGTTTCTCTAGCTCCCACTGGTGATCAAATATAAGTGAATCACCTCTGGGTCTCCACCCATTTAAATTCTCCTCCCCTCTTACATAGGTTGCTGACGTGTCCAGAACCTTTCTCTGTCTACGCTGAGCACCTAGAGAATCAATACAGGCATATAAAGCAAAGAAAATATACAGTCAAACCTGCTATAAAGGTCACCTACTTGAAACAAAAAAAATTGTCTTGTCAGTTCTCACTCTCCTTGTCCTGCTGTAAATACCTATACATTTTGAACCTCAGTGCAAATGTCAACTCTCGTATAAGGTAAGTTTTCTCTGGTCCCAAAAGTGACATTCATATACAGGTTTGACTGTAGAAGCATTAATAGAAATAGTGTGAACATTTTTGAAATCTTCATGGAATCTAGAAATGCATCAAAAATGGTAAGTTTACAATGTATATCATTGTAAAAGCCATAAATAATAAGCACTCGTACAAACAGATTTCTGTAAAACCCATTAACAACTTATGATTTTAAGTACTTCTCCATTATTGACCTTTTAACTGTATATTTTTGGTTACTTGCTTTGTTGAATGGATGTAATTTTTTTATCTGTTGAAATGTTCAATCAAATACAGTTGGCTCTTCTTTCAACTCCCTCTTTAAAGACTTTTTTCAAAATAACTGTTCTTTCAAAGTAATATGTCTGTTCCAATTAATAGATATGCATTATATTTCAAACTTTTTTTGTCAGTCTCATAAATTTTGAAATAATAGAATTGTACGTATGCTTCATTTTATCACCTTGCACTTTCATGACTTGACTGTGTTTTTCTACAGCAGTTTGTTCAAATTTCTGACCAGTTGAACAGTTTGGTTTGATGAAACAAATTGCAATTAGGTCAGAATTTTGAATAAACTGCAATAGGAGGAGAGAAACACTTACAGTCGAGTCACAGTAAAAACTAGATAATTTTGAGGCTTCTACATTTATTTCTATTTAACAGTTGCAATTAGTAGCATATATAAATTGTTTTAGTTTGGAAGTAAAAAAAAAATGATAAGTGTAGATAATATCAGATTGAAAGTAGAAATTCTGAAGCAAAGAAACGTTAATTCTGTTTAAAAGTGGGACTTTTTAGGCAAATATGGATGCCGTGTGCTTAAAAGACAGGCACAAATAATATCAAAGGGATAATTAAACTCATCGGTGGAAAATGAACTGACAATGCCAGTGTTTTGTAAATAAAGTACTGAGAGAAGTCATATCTGTAACTAATAGAATGTTCAATAAATGTCCTATTTGTATTTCAAAACTATGTTAAAAAAGTGTAACTGAAAGAAATAACACAACTATTGCAATTATTACAATTATATTCATTTTATACAAATCAAAACCAATGTACTGTGGATTCGTCATTATTTGTAGTGCATCAATTTTCATGGATTTTATTGGTATAGGCCAACCACAATTTAAGTGTTAAATGAAGAGCAAATCTTCTAAACTTTTTATATAGACTCTGTAAAACCATGAAATAAAGTTTCCACAATATATACCTATTTTTCTAAATCGATAAAAATTGATACCCACAAAAATAAATGAATCCAGAGTATTGCAATAAACCTTCTAAGAAGTCAACATCAATAATGGTTTACAACAACTGGAATATTTTACAACCAAATCCATACAAATGTTAGCCAATTTTCTTGCAACTGATCGGCTCAATTTTACATAGAGATATTCAAACAATTGTAAGGTCAGGTAAATTTAGAAATTTTGCTTTTGTGTTTTTCATCATTGTAAAACTTCGACAGGAGAAACAGTTTGCTTCAGGTGACCTTACTTTAGATTTGTCTGAGTTCTATCTGATCAGTTTGCATTTAACACTTGCATTTTTTTTTTACCAGCTATTGGTCAAAATTATAAAATAGAAGTGACTGCTAACAAGAAATTGGTTCACACTTCTATGGTTTTGGTTTTAATAACACAACGGTATGTAGGTAGTTATATCTATTTGTGAAATTCATATAAAGTTAAAAACTACATATATCTTGAAAACATCTGAGGTCCAAGAAAAATGTGGGTTACCTGCTGTCTCCATATGACATGAGCAGAAATGATGATTTCCATGTTTTGGTATGGGAAACCCCAAAATTAAGTTGCAGATTAACAAAGTGTGATGTAGACAATGACACTTGTGTCACTACATCTTTGCTGTCAAGCTTCCTTAATACATACTAGATAAAAAAATAATGTTCAGAGGAAAATAAAATAATAAGGAACACTGAGAAACAAGATGAAATCGGGCAGATAATTTGGTGTTACAGAATAAAAGCATTGAATGGCAGCTGTTTACCATTATACATTATGTAGATTTTTTTTAAGCTGTAAAATTTTTATATTTAATTATAACTATAATATTTAATTATTTTTGTGCAATTTCAATATCCTATTTTCTATTTTGTACAATTAAACAAAACGGTATTTTCATTGGAATAAAAATAAAGAAAATCGGTTTTGATTTTTTTTCTAAAAAAAATACCTTTACCTCATGTAAAAGTTGAGAAACAACCAATAATTTTTATATATAAATTTAAGCTATTAATTATATATTGATGATTTTATAAAGTACCAGATGGAAATATGAGTTTCAATATTTCAAATTTCATCTAAAAATTTACAAAATATCCCTTGTAATTAATAAGCAAATGCTGCAATCCAATGCTTTGTGTTGTAAGAATATAAGGTATTACATAAAACACAACACCGACCTGGACTACCTGTTTCAGACGCTTTCCGTAAGTACAGCTCATAAATTCCACTGACTCTGTTAGCATCTTGAGATTTTAACCCACCAAATAAACTTCGTAAAGATCTGAAAGGAGAACTAATGACAACATTCTAAAGTTAGTTACAGTAATGGCAGCTTTGATCACATGACCAGTGAGTGATTGCTGCCGTCTGACTGTTTTCAGGACCTGTAGATTATGTAGCGGCACCTTCCATCTCTATATTAATGCTAATTATATACTTATATATGTTAAACATATCAATATTAAATCATAGCTTTCAAAAAAGCACAACAAGCTTCGCATTCATACTTATATATGTTAAACATATCCATATTAAATTATAGCTTTAAAAAAAGCACAACAAGCTACCAACAAATATACAAGTTCACATAAATAATCCCTTGATGCCAAATCTATGTGTCTGCCTTTTTTTGCATGTTATGTCCACTTCTTTGGAATTTATTTTTTTTTCTTTTTTTTTTAAATATTAATTGCATTCTACGGAAATTGTCTTTTTAACAATGGGTTTATCTCCTTCACCACAATCTTCTAAAATCTATTTAGATATATGTCTCTGTCTATAATAACAAATTTTCAAATTACCTTCCATTAACCTTTAAAAAGCCCATTTAGACATAGCTAAAAAGACTCTATTTACATCCGTTGTCTGTCACGTAGTACTTATTTATATTCAAAGCTACCTCTTTATTTTAACCATAGTTTCCTGCATATTTATACATGACACAAATTCAAACTCACCCCTTCCTCATAATAAGTCTCACTGCAAGACAGGAAAAATTCAAGTGACCACATTTTTTTTACCCTAGTCAATCCTTGGAGTAGAAAATAACAGACAATTAGATCTGTTCCAATACCAAATTACATGATTAAAGGTAAAACAGTATCAAAATCTCAACTTGATTGTAAAATTTAATCAAAAGTTAATGAACTGAGAAACAAAGGTCATATGTTTTCCATTTCATAGCAGGTTCACAATGCATCTGCATACCAAGTATCACTGAAGAAGGTCAAGTAGTTCAATATTGTACCGGGATGTTTACATGCAAGTGCACTCTTATAATGGTACTGAAATAGTCCTTGCTACTTAGAAGAGACAAATAATAAACAACAACTTTTATAATTTTTTATAGATATTTCAATCACTTTCTATTTTTTGCCTCTTGGAAATATTTTGTCTCCTTATGTAACTAAATTGAACAAGAAGCTGAAAATTAAAATTAACCTTTCTAGCAACTTTTAAAAATAATATTTCATAAAAATCTATGAAAAGAATATTACATAACACAACTCAAATCTGTTTTTAGTTTTGGCTTAAAGCAGAAATGCATATAACCATACCAAAATGACTGATTGTCCTAAAAAATGAAAAAAATTCAAAAGTGATCTAAATTATTCACAATCAGGATGCTATCTTAAATCCTGAGAACCTTAGGCACAGTCCCTACATACATTTGAAAAAAAAACTTTATGAGAAAAGGATAATAAAAGTAGCATTAAGAGTTTACAAGCATTATCCGTTGACTCATGTTTTTTAAAAACAAGCAAAGGATTTCCAAAACAAACTAGATGTTAATAAAGAGCTGCACCATGAGAGCATGATATGCACATATCATGCTCATCGCTTTTTTAACAAATAAAGTTCCATTACTTCTCAATTTCATATCAGAAATTTATAAACAAAACTAAAGGGATCATATTTTAGATATAAACCATTCACCAAAGTTTCATGAAAACTGCTGAAAGCATTTTTGAGTTATTGTCCGAAAACTAGAAAATCTCCCTTTTTTTATGAACAAAATCCCATAACTCGGAAACGTAAAATCAAGATTTCATAAAAATCGAAAGGGAGCTTACGACAATAGATATAAACAATTTACCAAAGTTTCATGAAAATTGGTTTAATTGTTTTTGAGTTATTGTTCGACATGTTGACGACAGACAACGGTAGACTATAATATGTCCCGTAAACAGCCGTATAAAAAAGATAAAGCTCTAAAACAGATATCTACATTGCAATAACAAACATTTCAAAAACATAAAAATCAAAAATAAAATATAACATTAAAAGCAAATATCAAAGCAAGGAAGGTAAAAAATAAAATAAATCTGTTAAGGCAAAATTTCAATACATGCCCAAAATGGATGTGAAAAGCATTCCTTTCTACAGGCACACTGAATGATGGGAAGTGTCACATGACAGGTTTCACTCACTAGTACATAATTACATAACATTTATACATATTTTCACGATTTATAAACACAAAATGCATCAAATTACAACACAAATTTGTTTGTGGGATACAAAAGAATGGCTTTATCAATTTGCAATTTTTCATCATAGTTTCAATGGAATACTTGTAAGTTTTTCATTTCTAAAAAGATATAGTGTGTTAGCTATGTCTTTCTTTTTTACATGCACGTTGTCAACATTTTCAAAAGATCTTCATTCGTTTTATATCAGTTGGTCTCATGCGTAATAAAATGATTGATTGTTGGTTGCTTAACGTCCAGTGGCAAATATTTCATGCATATTCAGGACGACGTAATAATATGTGCTACATGTATCTCAAAGCTGAAAAAAACCTTATCTTTTACTTAAACTTATTTTTTGTTATTTCTTTTATATCAATACTAAAATGATGTTGATAGGTCAAGTGCCAAATGGCAAAGGTGAATATCTTTTCATTGGTTAAGTGCAAAAGTGTCTCATGAAGATTTGATTCACACTGAATTATCTCCCGTTAAAAATAAGTTTCGACACTAACCTGGAAGTAGCTATTTTAGTATCTCTGGAATAGATAATCATGGATAGATCCTTTGTTATACAAGTTGGCTGGTCACAATTCTCTACCTGCAAATATAAGATAACCCATCAAAATTCAATTTGCATGCATCTGACTTACACATTGAATGATTCAGAAAGAAGGGAGTGTTTCATCCTTATAAATCTAATCACAAATAAAGATGGTTTATTTTAAAAATAAATTGAGTAGTCTCTTTGAACTAGAACTATGAATTTCAATTTCAACTCATATCTTTGAGGGGCCTCAGTGACTCTAAGTGGATCAAGTAGTTATCTACAGTGATCATTATTCTGTCAACTTTGAGGTTATGAATAAATAAGTCAATTGAACCAACACCTTCTGACAGTACCAGCTGGTATAGTAGTCAGATTGAACACTGAAGTATGCAGCAGTTGTCTTAAAACCCTCATAAATCCAAACTATAAAAAGACAACAACATCCTGATTACAACAAGGAAATTATTTATTGTGGTCCACATTTTTTCACCTCCTAGAGGTTATGAGTTCATACCCCTCTAATGGCGTAATGTGCTAGACTCCCTTTCTAACTGACTAGGATTGCCAGTTTACCTAGCAAAGGTTGTTATTTTCTCTGGGTACTCCCGCTTCCTCCAGCAGATATAAACTGGCGGCCATGATATAGCCAAGGTTGTTGAAAGTGGTGCTATAAACCAACAAACAAAAACTAATAATATTTTTGATTCATTACCTCAATATAGGCTGACAGTGTCATGTATACTCTCTCTCCTGTGGAGGTGATTTTGTTCAGTAAACTAGAATTATGTAGGGAACTGTCCCAAGCAGCTTCAAATCGGAAATAGATCCTGCAATAGAAATAAGTCTTATGAGGTATTAACAAATTTTAACTGCACTTAAACATTAACTGTTATCACAGAGATATGTCTGGCTTTTTTGTAATTTTGATTATGCAAATGTTGAAATTAAAATGGCAATACTTAACAAGTTCGGCTAATATTCAAGGTCAATGAACCATGACTGAGGTACATGGCTAAACCATCTCCATGTAAATGACATGCACCAATGCTAATACAACTGCATACCAAATATCATTGACTTATTATAAGTTGTTCCCTTTAAACAAACCTAAACACAAACATTAACTTGTAAACTATGTAAAAGTTTCAAAGTCAATGAACCATGAAGAAGGGGTGGAGCTATATAATCCCCATGGAAACGATACTCACAAATGCCAATAAATTTGAATACCAAATATCATTGACTTAACATTAGAAGTTCATCTTAAACTGATCTTATCACAAACTAATACATGTAAGTTAAGCAAAAGTTTCAAAGTCAATAGGCCATGACTGAGGGGATGGGGCCAAATATTCTCCATTGAAATGAAATGTGCTAATGCTTATACAACTGAATACCAAATAACATTGGCCTACCCCTAATGGTTCCCCTTGAACTGACCTAATCACAAACTAATACATGTTAACTAAGCAAAATTTTCAAAGTCAATAGACCATGACTAAGGGGGCTGAGCCAAATAATCTCCATGGAAATGAGATGTGCCAATGCTTATAAAACTGCATACCAAATATCATTGACCTACCACTAATGGTTCCTCATAAACTGACCTAATCACAAACTAATACATGCAAAATAAGTAAAAGTTTAAAAGTCAATAGACCATGACTGAGGGAGCAGGGCCAAATAATCTCCATGGATGCTAATACAACTGTATACCAAATATCATTGACCTACCACTAATGGTTCCCCATAAACTGCCCTAATCACAAACTAATACATGTAAAATGAGCAAAAGTTTCAAAGTCAATAGACCATGACTGAGGAGACAGGGCCAAATAATCTTCATGGAAATGATTGATTGTTGTTTGCTTTACGCCGCATTAGCACAGAAAGGCTATATCGCGGCGACTCTTCATGGAAATGAGATGTGCCAATGCTAATACAACTGTATACCAAATATGATTGACCTACAACTTGTGGTTCACCCCAAACTAGACCTAATCACAAACTAATACATTGTTGACGCCGCTGACCCCGGAAACAGCATACCTATGTCTCGCTTTTTGACTCCGTCAAGTGAGACAAAAAATAATGCATTTTGATAACAAAAGGTGTAAATATTTATTTTCTCCAAGAAGAAATTTAAAATTCCAATGCACTAGCATGTTGATATATTACATGATTAAGATTTAAAAAATATGGAGTCATTTCTGTCGACCTTTCCAGGGTCTTGATTCTAAAGGTCAGGTGCTTGGTAAAGAAGCAACAGATACAAATATTTTTGCACCTGTCCCAGGTCCAGAACCTCTAGACTTTGTTAGTCCTATGTATTTTTTATTTTGGTTCATTTGCATGTTACAGAGTTTAGTATTGTGCCCATTTTGCTAAACTAGTATATATTATTATTCAGGGGCCAGCTGAAGCACGCCTCCAGGTGCAGGATTTTCTTCCTGGGTTGAAGACCCATTTTGGCCTTGGGCTGTTTTCTGCTCTTTGGTCGGATTGTTGTCGCTTTGACACATTCCCTGATTCCATTCTCTATTCTATTATTCTATTACTATTTTTGCTTTTAAAAAGCATGAGAATCTAATCTCTACTGTCCCATGCTCAAGTCAAACTTGATAATACAAGAATACCTATCATCTCCTGGGTACTGTATGTAAGATGCCGGAAACAAACTTAGAGATAAGACATTTGTTTCAAGATCAAAGTCTGTATATTCTGGGGTAGTCCTGATACGTCCAACAACCAATTCCTTAACATCTTTCCAAAGAAGGTCAGTCTCTGGACTCTGTTCCTGCATAATGGTTATTGCTAGACGACGCTGAATACCTTGGTGTAGTAGATATGTTCCTGTACAGGGGAATTCCTCACTGTGGTCAACAACTACTGGCACATATCTGTTAAAGTATATTTTAGTATCATCATAAAGAATTGTTAAGCATTTTATTTTTTTGTGGAGTTTAAATTTTACAATTTCTGAGGCCAGAACTGTTCTGTATTTTTATTTTCACATTTTTCTATTCTATGTTTCTGATTTTCCTAAAGATCAAATTGACATAGGGGAAATTTTGCGATTTTTATGATAATCAGGGAATTAATGAAAATAAACCCCTAGAGAAAATTTACCCTAGAGTAAGTTATCTAAAACATGTAAATAAAAGAACTTGTGGGGTAAACCTCAATAAGACAGCAATCTTACAACACAAATTAAACAAGATGACATTTTGACGTCAACATATGATCTATAATAATGGACAGGCACCCACACCATACAACTTATTCAAAATTTTCAGGAGTCTGGAAATATTATTAGTTGATTTAAAGAATACAATTAGATTTATGACTTTTCTTCCTTAACATAAAAAAATAATGAACGATAATGATATATTGGTTACTCCCCAGTCTGAACCCGCCACTAATACAAGACATGTTTATGGAATAGGCTTCATCAAATAGGCTAGAGACCAAAAGTTTAGGAAGTCAGATGCATAAAATATTTGCAGCTTAAGAGCATCAAAATTATAGCACTTTTCAAGACACTTTATAGTACAAATGTGGGATTTTTTTAAATAGATTACATAAATAATTGGTGAAATATAGTATGTGACCATTACTGAAGCATATTGTTACTACATCCCTCCCTCAAATACTTACTCTCCATTTGGAGCTAATTCACAGATCTCAAACCATACAAGTAAATCAAATCTGGAGTGAATGTGACTGGCACTGAAAAAGAAATGACAAATAAAATTCAGTTTATCTAAGAACAAGTATTGTGTAAACCAGTTTCTTGGCAAAATTTGCCCTTCTAATCTTTTAAAAATCTTTGGTAAATTGTGTCTGAATGAAGTGAAATATAAATGAAAATTATGAATGCAAAATAAAATTAAACTAAACAGGAAAAGCTATGTCATAAATACTATTGCATATAAGAGAGAATTTAAACGGTTACATTAAAGATTTTTTAAGTTTCCTTTTGCATCCTTCTTAATGTGTGTCTTTGCTTATTCTGTCAACCAAAGGGGGTTCAAATGGAATTCTTTCCATTAGTGATATGTTGTATGGCATCTTGGCTTCCTCTATTCTTACAAAACACTTAAACTAATGACTTTGTACAGTCTATAACAAAGTACTACTAGAAATAATGACCCCATATACATGTGGTAAGTACACAGAGCAAACATTTGAAAAGTTCTTTCAGTACAAATACTTTAAAAATCTCAGTTCTAATTTTTTTTGTAGTATTTTAATCATTTCACTATTTTTGTACAAACTGGACAATCGAAGACATTAAATAGTTTAAAAGAGTTGAAGAAGAGACATGCAACTACCTATTAGAGAACTAGTGCACACACACACAATGTTAGAGAAGAGAGAAAATTCACATATTAAAGCATGCAACAATTTATAATACAAGATTTATACAAATTTCAAAAGTTTATTCCCAAAACGACACCAATCTTTGGCTGGAGACCTCTAGATGTCTTTTTCTCATTTATGTTATCCGGTTGCTGTTTCATTGATGCATACCCCACATCTTACTTTTATTCATATCCAATTCCTACTCAGTTTAATTTCTGTGGATTTATTAAGTTTATTAAGTTTTGTGGGTACCAATTTTTGTGGATTCTGGAAAAATCCTGTTTCCAGGGATACTCGATTTCATGGTTTTCACAAATTCTGCATACAAGCCTAAAGGAAATTTGCATTTTGTAATATATTCAAATTATTGGTTCACCTAAACAAACAAAATCCAAGAAAACTAGACCCAATATTTACTTAAGTATCCACAGTATATATATAACCTCATGTTATTCATTATACTCCAAGCTAACAGATGAGATGAAAGGCTTTACCTGTAAAATTAACTTCTTCAGAACTGAGTACTTCACATATTTTTAAAACAAAAACACTAAAAATAGTGGAAAAAAATACAGAAATAAAACTTGTGCTTGACAATATGGAAAATATGACAACATAAATGGTAGTATTAAAAAGTACGTACTGTGGTGACGATGGAGAAAGGGGGGATTCAACACTGCGACCTGAATCATACCACCTATACCAAACAAAGCATAGCAATTCAGGATAAAGCTAAGCTAAAAACTCAATTTTGTAAGCTGTTTGCTAACCTAACTAATGGAAATTTTCATTGAAAAAGGTACAAAATACTGCAGATATCATGGGATCCTTCGCCAATAAATAATGTATAAAAATATATTTTCAATAACTGTAAGAACATTTGTTCATAAGATTATGGATATCATTTAAGATATGTTAGTTTTTTATAACTACAGTTCTTTTTTTTTATCAAAATTTTAATTTTAATTAGCCATTTTCAGCCCAAACAGCCATCCAACCACCCACCCCAAAAAAATAAAACCCATAGCATTTTCTATATATAAAATGTTAGTAATTAGTGAACTGCAAACAGCTAACAGAACATTTAAAATTAAGATATGATGAAATACAGTTTTATAATCTCAGTTTTATTTGAATAAGTTTCTAGATCAACCACAGTGCTTATCCTTAGTAAGCTGGTTTACTGTGTTTCCATTTTTTTGCATTTTGGAATGTTAACAAAAAATTGGATGTTTTTTTTTTACATAAATCCAAGAAAGGAGGAGGCATTATAAGAGCCATTATTTGGCCACTTGAAATTTGAAAAGTTGTAAAATTCTTCCAAGCCTTTCAAAATTATGTTCAATACATTGACAAATGAATCGGCTAATATAATCAAAATCTTTAGTGCAGAAATGAAGGTTATGTCAGAAAGATGAAAAAATTATTGACCTAAAATAGACATTTTACACATAGTTTTTGGCAAAATTAGATATGAGTCACATATGATGGATTCATAACACTGTTCACTTCCAATCCAAGGCGCCAAAACAAGTGGTCTCATCATACCTTCTCCTTTGTTTAATTTAATAACAATTAATCTATAAAATAACTAAAACTGAATTGAATTTTTTTTCCCTTGAGATTATAAAGCTGTCTTTTATAATGTTAGTACATAAGTATTTATATTTTCTGTTTAAATTTGTAAAATTACTTGAAATATCCTTTCATTTTTTTAAATTTTAATACTTATAAGCATTATCATGTAAAAAAGAAATGCTGTTAAACTTTGGAACTTTTACAGAAAATATATGATACCATATTTCCAAATACATGAAAATTATAGCAAATTATTACTTTGCATGAGTAAACACAGCATGAAATTGGTTAAAAGTAAGGAATTAAAATCAAATACAAAAGAGGTAGTAACCTTGCTACCAGACTTATAAATTCTCAATTTTTGAGATAATAATAATTTTTCATATTCTTTGAAATTGAAAACCAAAGAAAAGGAAAAATTCTGTTTCAAAAAGCTCATGTAAGAAATATCTAAATACAATTCTAATAAGATATATTCTTATAGTTCATATAAAGAAGTACGATCACTCTGTAAAAGCTTTGTTTAACCCAAAATGTAACAGGAGAAATTTTTCTTTTCAAAAGTATGTACTAGTTAAGATTGTACACAAGTAAAGCTTCTATCTGAAAGAGTAACATACAATTGCCAACTCTTGAGGGGTTCTTTCTTACAAGTAACACTGTACTCTTCAGTAGAAAATGAAAGATACTTAGCAATTCCTATAAATACTAGCTTCCTTCCACCTTCTATATTATCTAACTATTGTATCTATCTACAGAATATTTCCAAGCCAAAAATTTCCAGGATTAATACAAATGTGTTGTGTATTACATGCAGAATAAAATCTTGATAAATTGGTTGAAATTTAATTCTGAAAACTTTTAAATGACAAAATTCTTAATTTTTGCAAAATAAATTATCATAAAAATAAACATATAAAGAATTTCTTGCATTTTTTTCATAAATCATAAAACTTTAATTTTTACACTGGAATAGCAATTGACAAGTTTGATTATACATGTGATACATGAAGTCAGGGCTTTCCCAGAAATAAGTATGGAGCAGAAAGAAAGCATTTCAAATTATAACATTTTCTGAAGATCAGACTTTTAAAAAAATAAGGACAAAAATCAATCAAAATAATTAACACTGGTATATTTGATGATAGAAATTAAACAAATTGCCTTCTGTCCCCTCGATATACAAATATTCTAGAATAGCCCTAAATAAGATTTAGACCCTCTTGTTAGTATCTGGCAAAATTCCAAACTCAATACATTACCTCTTCCCAGATGCTTTAGCAGTATCAATGAATAAGTCTCGTTTTTTCTTTTTCTTTCTACCTCTACCACTATTTCAACATATTTTAATATTATATAGAGAGAAGTGAATACTAGATCACTTTAAAATATATATAATGGCATTTAATTACAAAGCTACTAGGGCCTTGTCCAATCAGGTGAAATTAATTACTGTGGATTCATTTGTTTTCCAGGATACAAATTTTCATTGATTGAGGAAAAGTGTAATTTCATTTATATTTGATTTCATGGTTTTGCCAAAGTCTGCATATATACAAGCCTATATAGAAAATGTATATGTCATTGATCATTTGACCCCCAAAAAACCCATGAAAAGTGGTATCTCAAGATATTATAATGAATCCACAGTATGAAATGCCAATTAACTTCAAACTACTGCAAAAATACATTTATTTGAAGGTGACAATTTTATAGATTGCAGAAAAAATGTACATTGGTAGAAGACAATTTTTATAGAGGTGAGAAATCATTAGTCAAGGAGGCTTTAATGTCTAACTTCATACAAAGTGGAAAGTAATTCAGAGGAACTGTAAGCAGCCACTCTAAATGAAACCTTCCCTTATATTTACTTTCAACTTTTTTTCAATTATCTCTCCTTCAAGATGTCTGAATGAAATAATCAGGCTCATCCTGAAATGGGGTATTTCCTTTAAGTAAAGTTTACAGAAATTCTTAAAACATATTGGAATTAGCACTTACAGGAATCATGCACAGATAAAGAAAATGACAGATGGATAATTAGGGTGATTCCTATAGAACCCCAAATTTTGTTAATAAACAGATCTTAGAAACTGTTTTACTTTTAATAGTTGGGTATAAAATACAAAGCAAATGAATCATGAAAAATATGAAAAGCTGAATCATAAAATATTCAATTTTCATACGATTTACAACATGATAATTTCTCAATAACAAATTGTAACTTCAGAAATTATCGATACTAATATAGATTAACAATTGACCATCTTAAATATTAATAATTACCTAGGAGGAACAAGAACTCCAAACTTTGGTGACGGAACTGGCTTTGACACAGGAATCATGGGTGGGAAATTCCTTCTAGGTGGAGGTCTAATGCTACTATAATAAACATAAAATACATCTATGTGAAAAGATTTTACTATGATCTAATATAGTAATAACTTATCTATGTGCCTTTAGACAACAAATTTACAACTATTGTGTGGCTGCTAGTTACTTTTCTTATGTGCAAAAGATATTCCTACATATATTTTTAATATGAATACATGTGTTTTCTGGTTTTGTTTCTTATCATTTTACAGTCTTGCAACTAAACCTTTAGCTAACTCTGGCAGTATTTGAATCAATTGTGCCAAAATACCACTAACACGTAATTGTAACTTTTGAATGATAAATATCGACAAATAGATTTATTTTATTGATATTACTCCATAGCTTTGTTCTTCAATTCACAGTTGTGGCGTGATCATCAGTTTGCAAAGAATTCCACTCAAACGGGTGCTAGTGGCTGTCTTGCAGTGTGGTGAGAGTTTTTTTGCTCCGTGTTGAAGGCCTCACTGTGACTTTGCAATGAAGAACTGCAAAAAAAATCACTGTTTTTTGCGGTGCATATACTGATATTGTGTCATTGATGGATACCACATATCCTATCTTGTTCTTTTGTAATTTTATTTGTATTTCTATGATCATGATTACAATCTCATTAAATGGCCTTTAGAAATATTGTATGATTTGTTACAACTTGTGAGTCCAATCAACTTACTTTTGAGATGAAAAATCTTTGGCTTGTTCATGAAGAGGGTGTTGTTGATAATGTCCAAATACTTCAAATACTAGTGGCTGACTTTTTATGTAATCTACGAATGACTTTGTTACTGTCACTGTAAACTACAAAACACAAGAAAACATTATGGCAATAATAAAAAATAGTGTTCCAAAGTCCACAGCCATTGCAAACATGTCCAAGGGCAATAATTAAAAGAAAATAATGTTTGGTTCTTTTAAACTTTTTTATAAATATCCTACAAGATATTACCGTAGAAAGGCTTGTATAGTCCGCGGTTTTATTCTCCAAAATTGGACCTTCCAGACGGGGTGCTGACTATAGAGTACAATAAGCAAGAAAGAAGAGAAACATTTCAATTTCGCGGGCGAGGTGGTTTGTTTACTTTTCCGCCATCTTTGTTATTTATATTGTAGAGGGCGCTCTTATCATTTTTCAAACTAATAATTTTAACTCATCCATATTAATAAGTTATTTCTATTCAATATCAAATTAATACTGATAAATATAAAAACTAAACCTTTCATTACAAATTTCTCGTTTCTTTTCAATGCATTGGTTGAAATAAACTGGTATCTGCATGATTGAAACGATACAAACATAGTGAAAAAGACAACCGTAAACCAGCTTAGAATTTGTAAACTACAAAACGTAATCGGTTATTGTTCGTTCCGTTTTGGTGTTTCATACTGACTTATATGGTTTGGATTTGAAATTACCGGAGTTTCATCAGACCTTTTCTAACAGTTACAAAAAGTTTTTTTACCTAAAATTTCGTGGGGAGAAGGGGGTGCGGACTATGTACCAGTGCGAACTATACAAGCCTTTCTACGGTAGGCATGAAATCACTAACAATATTATTTTCCTTTTGCTCAAAGTACTAATGTAGGTTTTATGCCCAACAATTAAACAAATGGTAGAAATTTTGCATCATAAATTTGGTATATACATCCTGGTGTTCATAGTGATCATGTGGTCAAATATGGTACTGAATTCTTAAGTTAATTTATTAAGATATTTTCTTTATAAACAAGGAATAAACATGTACTTGTGCAACATAAATACATGTACAGAACAGAAATTATAACACCATTTGATCTGTTTATCTTCAACAAAGGCTCACTGTTTGACAGAGTGACATATCCTTTAAAAAAAAAAAACGCTTTTACTTACATTCTGTACGTGGTAGAATCCTAATGGATTATTTTTACCACAATTCTTCAGAGGCTCTGTTGAGAAAGCTTCGTCATGACGATGCAGGAAGCTAAAGATTGGAAAGAGAAATTTTAATCCAAATTTATCTTCAGTAAACTCACTAATCAATTATATTATCAACTTCTTTATGAATAAAACAAAATTAAAATTTGATCATTCAAGATAACTGCAATTTAACAATTACAAATATTTCTTTATTATGGTATAAATAATATCTGTATTAAATTTCTGTGATAATATCTTTTTATCCAGCCACAGTAAGTATATAACACCACTTGTAGATGTGAATTTCTATTTATCATGTGATACACAGTGGTTGTCTCATGTCATTTAACTAAGTATTTCATGCAAGTAAGTCGTGTAAAACTTTTACGGTCAATTCTTATATAATTTAATTTTGTATGTAACGCGTCTTCCGATTGGCTGACGTTGTTTTGTCTATCAGCTCACAGACATAATTTTGTCATGTGACCTTGACGTCATCAACGTTTTTTCATGATTTACTTTGGTTTAAAATGGAATTAAGAATTAAATTATAAGAAATGACTGTAAGATTTTTTCTGTCTATTCGAAATAACATAAAAATGTGGTGCACACTTTAAAATAACCCATTACGCGGGTTATTCAGTGTGCACCACATTTTTGATGTCATTTCTTCATAGACAGAAAAAATATTACAGTCATTCCTTAAATAAATTCTACTCACTTGAATTGACAAAATATGTCAGCATATTCAATAGGTATCCCAGTAGCTTCTAGTATAGTTACTCTAAACAGCAGTTGAGAACCAAGTTTTAGATGTCCTGGAAGATCATTTTCATTTATCTCTGGGAATATGTCAGTAATCACTGTCTTCTCTGTATTAATACAATTCATTTCTAAAAAAAAAAAACAAATATTGTTGTTAAATACTGTAAAATCATAAATGTTTGCAATTTTTTTTTATATATTATTATGAAAATTGCAACTGAATTTGTACTACAGAAAAACAAACTCTTATCTTAAAATTTGATAGAATTTTGTATATGCCGCATATACTGATGTTGGAATAATCAATCTCACAATTTTGTCCATACTTCAAAAATCGTAATCAAACAATTTTGAATTTACAGTAGTAGTTGTATCCTTTACCTTTAAGTTTGGAATACCTTATTTGCATAACCATATTTAATTAATTTGTGTGCCTCCCATTCCTCCAACATGGTAAATTTTGGAACAGCCCATAATGAAAAGAGTTCTTTAAAGTTTAGTAAATTAAATAATGTCATCTGTCAAACAAAATACCTCATTACAACATTCAAAAAATAACAGGAAATTTTCCTCTGATAGGAACAAATATTTCAAACTTTAAAACGTGCAAATTCACACTTTTTATTATCTTAATTTCTAGAAGCCTCATCACTATATATTCAATTCAACTAGATACAACTTCTGTATGAACAATGAAGAGGAACTTCCTTTATCAACCACAAAGATGTGGATTCATTGTATTTCCTGAGGTACCAGTTTTCATGGATTTCATGGGTATAGTTGAATCAAGAAATTAAATGTTCAACAAATTACAAACTTTCTATAGGCTTATATTCAAACTATGGCAAAATCCTGAAATCAAAAATCCACAAAAATGAAAGTTTTACTCAATCCATGAAAATCGATGCCCAAGAAAATAAATGAATCAACAGTACTACACATACCATCATTATGATTGTCTAAACTTTGTCCTTCACCTTTTACATATCAAAGTTCAATAACAAAGTACACCTACCATCATTATGACTCTCTGTACTTTGTCCTTCACCTTTTACATATCAAAGTTCAATAACAAAGTACACCTACCATCATTATAACTCTCTGTACTTTGTCCTTCACCTTTTACATATCAAAGTTCAATAACAAAGTACACCTACCATCATTATGATTGTCTGGACTTTGTCCTTCACCCTCTACATATCGTAATTCTTCAGTAGACGGAGCAGCTTGAGGTTCTTTGTCATACAATTGTTTCTGTAAATATCAAATCAATGTAAAATGTGAACAGTTAAAATATGGAATGTAGGACAGAAAGTCACAGGACAAAAAGTCACAGACAAAAAGTCACGGACAAAAAGTCACGGACAAAAAGTCACAGGACAAAAAGTAAAAATTCAGTTTTGAGATTATTTTTCTTTAAACAAGAAAACACTAATTTAAAAAATTTAATTTTTGTTTTTTCTTGAACTATTATATATGAAGCAACTTTGTAATTAAAATTTATTCAATAAATATCAATAATGATCAAATAATTGTTATGAAAACAAAATGTCAAAGTGGCTTGGTACTTAAATGGCTTCATTGTGCCAAGTAATATATCCTTTGCATGATTAAAATTTAATAAATTTTCATTTATCAAGGCTTATGAACAATTTCCTAAACTTAAAAATGAATATATGTAATAAAAAGAAAATATTTCAAGATCTTTCTCTTATATATTCAAACAATTGTCAACAAATTATTTGTGACTTTTTGTCCTATCAAATTTGTGACTTTATGTCCTGTGACTTTTTGTCCTGTGACTTTCTGTCCGTTTACCAATATATGGACACACTCATAAGAGAAAAAAACTGGAGCCTTACACTGCCATAAATGTTTATCTTAATTCATGCTTTGAATACAAACAAACCTCCATCAGTACTCACTGCCAAACTTTTACCATTAAATGTAAGTAAAGAACAAGAAAGTATGCAAAATAGTGTAACAACAAAGTTTTTAAGTTTAAAAAAATAAAGTTTGACAAAGCAAAAAGGTAAGTTGTTTGTGTCAAATGGCTAAGCGAACTATAGCTATTGTTTTAAGTGGCCTAAGAAAGCTTAGCTTACCACTCATTTTGTTTAATATGCTCTGGTAAAGCTAAGCTAAATATAAATTTTGTTTTAAAGCTCTGATGAAGCTTTTCATACCTTCTTAAAATAGTCATCATCTCTAAATGAAATCTTGGCATTTCCGAACTGTTTTATTCCAGGAGTATAGTCTGGGGTCTCTTCTTTGCCTAAGAAAATATGTAATAGTACCAAATAAATAAAATACATCTACAACCATCAAATTGTTTTAAAACCACTAAATAAACAATATACTTATTAATACCTTATAAAAATAAAAATGAAAAAATTTGAATTAAGTAAATTTATGTCTAATATTTTTTCTTTGAATTTTGTCTTTTTACCATGAGCAAAAACACTTCAGCCTAAGATCTTCTTCGCTCATAGTGTAACTAATTTGTCACTCAGTAAAAAGAAAAAGGGACTGAGGAAACTTTATGATAACAAAATCTTAATTATTTAAAACTGGACATGCTTTATTTGAATTTCTAAACAAAAAGTGATCTTTCAATTAGAAGCTAAAGCATTCCTAATAAATGTAAATTCAGAAATGTATGTCAGATGCAGTGTTATTTTCATATAAGAAGTTATGTGAATCAATAAATTTAACTCTCCTATAACTGGTGAGACAAACTATTTCTCCTTAAGACTAAACAGGGTTTTTATGATTTAATTGGCTGAATAGAATAATTTTGTTCTGATTTCTTAAATCACATGGTGTTCTGTGGTACTTATGCCATATATACATTGTTTTTACCATTAATGGACTGAACAGCTAACCATAAACACTACTTGACCCTTTTTATTTCATTGACAATATATCAATTGCATTTGATTTTGACAATTACCTGTAATGGCTTGAACAGCTACCCGTATCGACCCTTTGACCTCTCCTTTTTCACTGACAATATTAACTCTGTGTATCAATGGCACAGGATAATACAAATTACTCAGGTATACAAAAGCCCTAGAAAAGAAAAAAACAATCTATAAGCAAAACAGCTATGCAAAAATATTAAAGAAAAAAACATTAATTTGTTTAACCTATTTTCTTACAAGTGACCAAATCTTTGACATCATTGACGTCATATTATTGGACCTGAAACTGGTAATTTGAACTTCCAACTAGCTGGCCAATAAAGAAATCTATTATTATGGTCCTAATAACAAAAATATATAGAACCTGATACACAGATCTTCAGATTTATACAAATACACTGCTCAATATCTATCAAGAATGTGCATCTACAGGATATATTCCTGGTGCACTCTATTACAAATCCATGTTCAATAAAGCATAAAATCTTTGTCTAAACCCTAATTTGTCATATTTATTAAACAGTTCACTTCATAAGTAACATTAGTACTGGTCTCAAGTTAATATGACCACAAACTACGCTAAACCAAAACTTTAACCTACCTTTAACCATAACTTGAACAGACTGACGGACAGACCAGAAAACATAATGCCCCTCTACTATAAACATAGATGGGACATAAAATTGCCCCTCTACTGTCGTAGATTGGGCATAAAAACAGAAAGTGCTTAGTGATTTCAATTGTGAAGATTAAAACATGTTACCTTCCTACTAGTCTAAACCATGGAAATCTGTCATAGAATGGATCACCGCCAGTCATGCTATCCATGTTAGGTTCTGGGGATGTCGGGGATAACTCTGCTTCATTGTGATACATCTCTCTCATCAATTCCAATCTCTGCCTGTAATTATAAGAGAAATGTTACTAAATAAATCAAATAAATTACTCAGGATGTGTAAGGATCAGGATGTGTAAGGATTTAAAGCTTTGATGAATGTATGAATACATGTATGTTCAACTTCCAGCAGTAAATTGATTAACCATATTTGAGACAAAAACGTATTGATGTGATTAGAATGTGAACTCAGCTTTTTATTAGACAATTAGCTTGATTTTTAACCATTTTACTTAACAAGATCTGCAGCCTCAAATCAAGCCAATTTGATCATTTAATGACTCTTTAGCCATCAAGTTCTGCACTAACTCCTAAATCCTGTATGCTAAGCAAAGAAGCAGCAAGTTCTAATTTTTGACCAGGTATCAAATTCATTACATCTACATGAACATTCTACCACAAAACATCCATATTGATCAATGAAATAGTTACCCAATAATAAATTTGTTTGTTTGTTTGTAGGTGTTTAAATCCACCTTCAGATATCTTGGCTATGTTATGGTGGCCAGTTTTTATTTTTATTGGTAGATGAAGCCGTTGTATACAGAGAGAACCATCAACTGTGCAATCCTTGTCAATTAAGATTGTGTCCATAGTACACGGATGCCCAACTCGCACTATCATTTTCTATGTTCAGTGGACTGTGAAATTGGGGTCAAAACTCTAATTTGGCTTTAAAATTAGAAAGATCATATCATAGGGAGCATGTGTACTAAGTTTCAAGTTGATTAGACTTCAACTTCATCAAAAACTACCTTGACCAAAAACTTTAACCTGAAGCAGGACAGAGGGACTATGGACAAACGAACAGACCGAAAAACATAATGCCCCTGTAGTATAGTAGGTGTGGCATAAAAAAAACCTGCCAAGAGTTGGGTTAGAACTTGCGACCTGAGTTGACTGCCTACTGATAACTTTAAATGAACTAGTGGCCATGGAGGCCTCCAAATAATAAGTATATTTCAAAATAAGACATCTGCATATAATGGTACATGTGGATCCACACATACAATGTATAAACTTTTGATTCTCAATGAAGGATGTACCAATATCCTGATAATGAATTTGTTCTCCTGATAAATACCAATATCTGTTTCACAGATGACAATGGATATGTTCCAATTGTCGTAACTACTATCCCGTTCCATTTTCCCCCAATGTGACTTACCAAATTAGACTTATCACCGGGTTTGTACTAACATGAGCAACACGACGGGTCTGCTTACGCTTCCTGAGCACCTGAGATCACCCCTGGTTTTTGGTGGGGTTTTTGTTGCTCAGTCTTTGGTTTTCTATGTTGTGTTATGTGCTTTGTTTTACTGTTGTTTGTCTGTTTGTCTTTTCCTTTTTTAGCCATGGCGTTGTCAGTTTATTTTAGACTTTGAGTTTGAATGTCCCTTTGGTATCCCTTGCCTCTCTTTGACCAATGCAAAAGGCTAATGTGGCCTTGTAGGCCAGATGAGCTAAAAATGATCAGTACACGGTTTTGTGGGGTGACTTAAAAAGTAGTTTTAACTTTTGATGTCCACACACTTTCTATTAATTATAGTAGTTTATCAATTTGCATTTTATTAAACCATTTTTTGGTAAGTCACATCTAAATAAATAATCATTGTTCATGGAAAATATCATATTGATTTTTACATAATACTTACACAATAATTTTAATAACCAAATAAATCAAATTTTTTTTCAAGACTGTCCTTTAGAGTTTTACAGTCTTTACCATTTCATAATATTTAGTGAGATTGAATACAAGATATTGACAACTTATTTCCTAAAATATATGTTAAATTAAATATACAATGTAGTAATGAGACAGAAATAAATATGGTGCTAATAATAACACATATGAAACTGAAAAAAAACTAGAGGCTCTGAAGAGCCTGTGTCGCTCACCTGTATTTACTGATGCTTTGGAAATCATGTAAAATAAGGTTAAAATCATAATTAATAGTATTAGATATTAGATATTATAATGATATCTAAGATAATAACAAAAAACTGCAAAATTTTTGTAAAATTAATAACTCAGGGGCAGCAACCCAACAACGGGTTGTCGGTTTCGTCTGAAAATTTCAGGGCAGATAAATCTAAATCTGATGAACATTTTTGCCACCTGTCAGATTTGCTCTAAATGCTTTAGTTTCAGAGATATAAACCAAAAACTGCATTTTACCCCTATGTTCTATCTTTAACCAAGTCGGCCATGATGGTTGGAAGGCGGGGTCATCTGACCAATTTTTTAAACTAGATACCCTAATAATGATAATGGCCAAGTATGGTTAAATTTGTCTCAGTAGTTTCAGAGAAGAAGATTTTTGTAAAAGATTACAAAAATTTACAAAAAATTGTTAAAAATTGACTATTAAGGGCAATAACTCCTAAAGGGGTCGACTGACAATTTTGGTCGTGACAACTTATTTGTAAATCTTACTTTGCTGAACATTATTGCTGTTTACAGTTTATCTCTATCTATAATAATATTCAAGATAATAACCAAAAACTGCAAAATTTCCTTAAAATTACCAATTCAGGGGCAGCAACCCAACAACAGGTTGTCAGATTTGTCTGAAAATTTCAGGGCAGATAGATCTTGACCTGATAATCAGTTTTACCCTATGTCAGATTTACTCTAAATGCTTTGGTTTCAGAGATATAAGCCAAAATCTACATTTTACCCCTATGTTCTATTTTTAGCCATGGTGGCCATCTTGGTTGGTTTGCGGGGTCATCGGACACATTTTTTTAAACTAGATACTTGAATGATGATTGTGTTTAAGTTTGGGTGCATTTGGCCCAGTAGTTTCAGAGGAGAAGATTTTTGTAAAAGTTTACGGACGACGGACGACGGACGCAAAGTGATGAGAAAAGCTCACTTGACCTTTCAGGTCAGGTGAGCTAAAAATAAAAGACAAGACACGAACCTTTCCCATTGTATTTTGAAATAACACTGAGACATAACTCATGAGAGAAATAAATTTCAATTAACAAAAATACAGATAATAAGACGTATAGACGAAAACTCCCAAGTGACACTTTTAACGGCTGATCTTTTCAATACAGTAGCTGATTCAAATGATTTGGTCTTAAAAAACAGACAAGAAAAGCAATTAAAACCCCTAAATATTTTTAAAACACAAGGGAAAAATGCCCAGAAAAAAACGATAAAAAATTGGTTTCGTTTTTATATTTAAAAAATTGATAAAAAATCAATAAATAATAAATGGTATAAAAAATGAACAAATCAAAATAGAAGCAAAAGTAAGAAAACATTTATGAAATTTACAACACCAAAATGATGACATTTACACAACACCGATTTCCACAGACCTGGATGGTATTAAATTAGCAAAATTAAAGACATTTTGGTTTGGATTACATCCCATCAGACACTGAAAGAAATCCTGTTTTTGTACTGGCGAATCTGGTGAATGGTCTTCATTATAAATGTCTCGCATGAGTCCCAAACGTTGTCTACAAAATTACAATATCATTTTTTTTAAATTTATTGTCTACAAAATAACTTATTTATCTATTTTTTATATGAATAACAACTGCATATTATCTATACATTTAATGAAGAAATTATTTAGTGCAAAAATATATTTGCTGAAAGATGATTTATTTTTGGTCTTGAAATAAACTGTCATGAAGCAAAAAAAGCTTGTTTAAAAAAGATTCTGTCCAAAAATAATTTCTCCGATTACAAAAGTAAATGCAATAATGCCATAAAAACCAATATGTATTATTGTCAAATTGCAAAAACAATCATTAAAAAGATTGTGCAAATGATATATAAAAAGGAAATATATAAAAAAATGTCTTTTTAAAGGACAAAGTTGGAACTCATGCCGAGATACATATCAGTCAGATTTTAATAAAGTTTTAACATGCGTTCAGACAATATAAAAAGTTGAGCAAAAAGTTGAAACGCTGAAAAAAGAACTAAAATAAATTTACACAAGAAATGTCATTATATTAAATTATACAGGGGATCACAAACAAAGTTAATCTTTCATGCAATGAATTCGGACATCAGTTACAAATCTATCTACTCAAAACATTTCATGCTAATTTATAGTCATTCTCTTAAAAAATAATAATTATAATAAGATTGTGCCACTTTAAGCAAGAATTTCCTGGCAATTCTTTCATATAAAAACAAAAAGACTTCTTTTCTGAAGAACAAGTTCAATATTGAGGACAACAGAATTTTGTAACTGATGAAACAAGATTGTTTTATGATGAAAATTTTGAGCTTCCAACTTTGCCCAGGAATAATGTTAAATATGATGATAAAAATATTAGAAATATTTATGTAGTAAATGGCTGTGAATGAAATTGATCAGCAAAATAACCAAAAGAGCAGTAAGAAACAGATTTATACAATTTATTATATCTCTTAAGTATAATCACAAGATGTATTTTTATTTATAATCTTTATAAATCTTAAGGTGGTACCAAACACCTTGACCTGAATTAATTTGGCTCGTTTAATTTTCATAAAATTTTGACAAAATATTAACTTTGACCCTTTGATAAAAATATAAAAATTTCAAAAGAATTGAACCACTCACTTTATGGGAAAAATTTCATTGGATACATAGCAGTTTGACAAATACTAATTTTGATCATTGAGAAGCTTAATATTTCCTTAACAATAGAACGTGATTAAAACGTTCAGCTGATTTTACAGAGTTATCTCCCTGTAGTGTTATGTACCACCTTACGCCCAAATTATACTGAATAAATCAATAAATAAAATACAGCAAATCCAATACAGATATCATAGTTTAAATATATTTCAAAAAAAAATGAAAAATACAATGTCCCAACTGATCTGCTTCCTAAGCTAAGTGTTAAAATATTGATTCAATATACTGAACACAAATTTTTTTTGAATCAGTCATATAAAAGTCAGTTTCATTATTTTGGTAGAAAAAATACTTATTATCTTCTGCTTTGTGATGAAAAATTAAGTTTTAACTTCATGTATCTGAATAAATACTATTAAGGGATATATTCAATCGGCTATAATACAGACCAATCACCATGTAAGCCACAGTGTTCTCCCCAGGGCCTTTTAGCATCATGGCAATGTGATGCTGTATTTCTAGAATGTGATTCTATCTGAAATTAGTTTCTTATAGATAGTGTTATGAATGTGATGCCATATTTTCTAGAACCAAGAAGGTATTTCATAGTTCCCTGTTTAACTGGATGATATAAGAAATTTCTGAGGAGAACACTGAAGCCATATTAGCCTATATTCAAGTTGCATTTTTTTTCATCTAAAAGACTATGGACATATTTTGATGCATAAGATACATTTTATGTTTTAATTTGTAACTTTAAATAATGTAAAAAGTTTAAATTTGTTTCGTGTTTTTACATCGCGATGACCTTGAGGTCATGCGGATGTATTGCTATCGCCTAGATTTCCATTATGTAAATTAGTTTTGGGTTTGTAACCGATCTATAAACATGATAAATATGCGCACATAAACGAGTGCAAAATAACATTCCTTGTCATTTGATATAAATACATCTCTTCAATGAATACTGATAAAAATATTTTTGTTTACAACATAAATTAATATTGTGAAAATGTTTTGTAGTTAGATATATATATATATAAGTAAAAAATCATTGATAATATCAATGCACAAGTACCGAAAAATTGTGTTAAAGCATGCGGAAGAATATCTCAAAGAACGTTTTGCGACAGGACCGGTAACTCTGTAATTGTTTTTGCGGGAAAATATGAATGCCTACTCGTATCCAATCTTAGAAAAATCGAATTTTTACAGAAAAGTGTCCACCATGCACTTGCATTGCACTATTATTAGAACAGTAGAATAGAATGATATACAAACGGATGCAAATCATATATATATGTAACTGTTATTTTAATATAATATATAACAACAAATCAGTGTATACTGATTTGTATCACAACAATATAATAGTTATTACGGTGAAGTTGAATTTCCTGTCATTTATTCATCATACTCGCACGCACTTGTCTAGAAAAAATATATCTCTGTACATTAACCTAAGTTTCACGCAAAGAGATATGTTGTTTTTTTTCTGAGACAAGTGCTTTTGACCATCCTCAAGAACTTGTGGTCATCCGATGTTCAGTACTTCAGTACTTTGATTTTACATGTTGAAATGGAAAAATTCCACTGGCACAGCATATCTGAAAAGAACTTTCTGTCGATAAATCATCAGTATGCTGATGATATAAAGAATAAGAATGCTTAAAATTCTGATTTATTCTACCTAGCTACTTTATTTATATATTTGGTAAATAAAATGTATTGAATTAGCATAGATTAGGTTCTTGGAGGAGAAATCACAAATTTCATCAATACTGACATAAAATGCATTGTGAATGGGAGAGATCAGTTCAAATATGATTTTCTGTACCTGCTTCTTAGTAAGTTCTTAGTTTAATCTGAGAAGCATAATAATTTAATACAAATGATGGTGTTCTTAAATTTGTGGCATACTGGTCCATGTTTCCCGAAAGGTCATTTCAATTAGGACCAGTCGTAATTTATTATCTTTACAACTGGTTGTTATCTGTACAGCCTTTTGTGAATGCATGCCTGATGTCTGTTTATCAGAATAATGGTATAAAGATCTGTATTTGCATGTACTATTCATAAGTATCTCCTATGAAATAATAGCAAATGAATATTTGAAAATTTCAGCACAAAAATTGCATTCTAGGACAGTGATACAAAAATTGTATTCTAGGACAGTGTACTCTAGACATGACCAAGACAATACAAAAATTTTAAACAGACAAGACAAAACTTTTAAAAAGACAAGACAAATTTATAAAATATCAAAAACTCACTTAAGTTTATCAAGGCACCAGTAATGTGTGGCCCCATTTTTGGTGTCTTGGACTTCTACAGCTACAACAGTCTTTGGGAATGGCCTAGCAATGTCCCTCTCACCAGATGGCAGTAGGTCTGGAGGCAGTGGAGAGTAAAGGGTGTCAGTCAGCAACACAAACTGGAACTGAACCTAAAAAGATTGATATTTTTTTTAGATACGAGAAACTTTGACATAAATTCTTTTTTTGGGATCTATTCATGAATATTCATAAAACCTATGCTGTTATAGTTCTCACCTTTGACTTTCACTATAACTTTAAGAAGAGACACTTTTATTAATGCATAATTTAATGAGTAATCGTATTTGTATTTTTGCTATAATTTATCATACTGTATTGTATTACAACTACATTGGATTTTTTTTTTGTCTAGGCCAAAGAATATAATTATTTTATATTCAAATCAACTTAGGATACACAAAGAAGACAACAGATGAATGGAACAAGCCAAATAAACAACTTATTTATGACATCTAATTGTAGCAGAATTTGAGTTAAATTTCTGTTCATGCAGTCAATATTAAATTATTTTCCCTCTTGACACAGTTTGTTTAGTGGTTCATTACAACTTTTAGAATAGGTATACCATGCACAGGTATCCATACTACCTTTTTACTCAGTTCCACACTTATTGCATTGGCCTCTTTCAGGAATATTGCATTACCCCATAAATCATCCTGAAAAATAATCATTAATTATACTTTGAAAGATATACATCTAAGCCACCTTCATTTTCACATTTCCCTGAATTTATAAATTCCTTATGTTCTAATTCAGAAATTTTGTACTATATCCAATTTATGATATAAAATCATTTAAATATAAGGTTCAATGAAACCATAGTACCAATAAAAATATAATTGATTGTAACAAATGAAAACTGCTTTTCAATTTTTACAATAGAGATTTAATTATAAATCTCATCATAACAATAACCTTACAGTAAATAATTATGGTAAAGTATGGTCAACTACACATAATGACAAACAATTCTCACAAGTATGAAAGCTTTCATGTAGTGTATTTTGTCGATAGACAGATAAAAATGTCCTCCATTGAATAAAAGCTGAAGACATTAATATCTTACCCGGAGAGATGTAAACTGATGATACTTCCATTTTCTGAATGCCCAGGCAGCAAGTTGTCTTTCTTTCTCTGTCCATGTATACTCTACAAACATACAAGTATGTAGTGATGTTAGTTTACAACCCAGTAGTCATACTGTGATACTTTCCTTAAGGAAACAAGCATCTGTAGATGTAATTACATGAAACATATAAATAGCTGTAATATAATCATTACTTGCTTCTCAATTTAAATTTTTTAAACACTTTTGCATTGACATCATAAAGAATTCACAACTTTTCCCCTTTTTTTACCACCAAAGGTAACCCTTTATGACAACTTGAAAGCTTTTCAAATTACAAATTCACAAGGAAATTCAGCATCATCCAGAATAACATCTAGTCAATACTTTACCACAAAACTTGCATTTACCTCACAGAAATTTGTATAGAATGCTTTTAAATTTATCATGAAAATGTCTATACTGATAGCTTTCAAATACAGACCTTGTTGTTCCTCTTCTGAGGTAACATCTTCCATGTGACATACTGATGACATCATGGAGTAAGTCTCCACCTGTTCCTGTAGATTCTGTATACGCGTCTCGTAATCCTTAAATATAAACAATATATTGTTATAATCGTAATCCTAAAATATAAACAATATATTGTTATAATCGTAATCCTAAAATATAAACAATATATTGTTATAATCGTAATCCTAAAATATAAACAATATATTGTTATAATCGTAATCCTAAAATATAAACAATACATTGTTATAATCAAACAGTGAACAAGAAATGAATAATCTTTATTATTAACAATGGAATAAACAAGTGAAACTGCGAGCTACTGCTCACTGATGATACCCCCGCCAAAATATGGATAATTTTAATAGTGTAAAAATATGTAAGTGTTCGGTAAACAGGAAGTTGTTGAGTGATGAATCTGAAAACGCATCACACGGTATAGCTGACTTATATAAAGCCTGAAACCAAATTTCAGCAATCCTTGTATTGTTGTTCCTGAGAAAAATGTGAAGAAAATTTTCAACTTGGCTATCATGTGTAAAATGATACAAGTGTTCGGTAAATAAGAAGTTGTTGAGTGATGAATCTGAAAACTCATCACACAGTATAGCTGACTTATATAAAGCCTGAAACCAAATTTCAGAAATCCTTGTATTGTAGTTCCTGAGAAAAATGTAACAAAATTTTCAACTTGGCTATCATGTGTAAAATGATACAGGTGTTAGGTAAACAGGAAGTTGTTGAGTGATGAATATGAAAACGCATCACACAGCATAGCTGACCTATATAAAGCCTGAAACCAATTTTCAGAAATCCTTATGATGTAGTCCCTGAGAAAGATGCGATGAAAAATATTCATGGGACGGCAGGACGGACTGATGGATGGACGGACAGACAGAGGTAAAACAGTATACCCCCACTTTTTAAAAGCTGGGGTATAATTATCATGAAACAAACATTTATTCAATGCATGAAGGGATCACAAAATGAAAATAATTCTTCGATTTTTCATTGATTTTACCAATTGGTCAGTTACTGTCTGCTGCAAAAAAAAAAATGCCAAAATTTTGACCGACTTATACGAGGGTCAAGACTAAGTCCTTAGATTTTAAAGCTGAAAAGGGCAACAGACTTATATGTTTGACTTTTACTCAAGTACCAACAGAATCAATTTTACTCTTAATTCACTTTAAAGACAAAACCACAAAATTTTGACACCATGAAAATTAATGTTTCTACAGTACATACATTTTATCTATTTAATTCAAATTCCTAAAAATAACCTCTATAAATAAATTGGTTATAAATTGAGTGTTGCAATATTTTCCCTTCATTTTGGTACAATTTCTCTTACTATCCAATTCATTTTTACCTTTCTTTGTTGCTCAAATAACATGTCTGCTTCTTCTTTTTCCTTTTTATACTGTTCTTCAATTGCAAACAATCTGTCAAAATAGAACATTATTTGTGAAAATTAACAGAATATGGATATGATCAAATTCATCCTTAATGACCAAAAAAACATGTTTTAGTTCATGAATATTTGTATAGAAAAGTCAAAAGGCACTACTATTAACATTTAATGAGTTGTTATTGTCCGTCATGCTTTACCATAAATTTAGACGAAATTGCTGAAAGTACCCCTCGTAATTATTGAAATCTATCCTTTTGCATTAACCATAATATCTTGATCTGATTTAAGTACATCCACATGGGTTATCTAATACATGAATTCAAAATTTTATATACTTGTGAGGTAAACTAAATGTTAACACTTTATCGCCAAAAATGTTTACATGATCTAATAAAAAAAGTAAACTAACCTTTGTTCCATATCTTCTTTCAAATCAACTCCTTGTTTTTCTAATAATTCTAACTGTGCAAATGTCCAATCAACTGGTTCAGCTATAAATAGATATATTTCATATTATTGCATCTAAATATTATTTTTCAGTAGGTCTATTGTAATTCTTTTAACTACAAGGTAAATCATTGTAAATTTATCGTCTTCATCCATGAACTTGTGCATTTAACGACATATAAAAGACATCATTTCAATACAAAAAAATCATAATTTCCGTCTCCATTTAAAAATTTTAGAAATTGTTACTATAAATAGAAACTTACACCCAGTGGTATCAATCTGGTCAAAGTCTATTAGGTGTGCTCTGCTCTGTCGTGCTGAAGTGGTAAAAAAAACACATTCTAAATCAAGTAACAAAGAACTTATATGTTTCTATGTCTCATATACTGCAAAATAATAATTATTCCATTTCCACATTTTTTATCGAAATCCCGGATTGCTAGATATAAGTTTAACATTTATATATTTCATTTGTATAAGTCTAGAACTGTTATAGATATATTAATTTGCTTGAATTAAAATGCAGATAAACCAAAAAAATACTCAAATATAATACAATTTATTCCCTGTTCTGCATTTTGGGTAGACTTGCAAAATAGGGGATTGTCAAATTTGAGAAAAACTTTGAGGTATTTTATTCTCTTTTAAACTTTTATTTTATTGTGTTCATTAAACAACCAATATGAACAAAAAGAGATGTGGGGTATGTGTCAATGAGAGAGCAACTAAATAACAAACAAGAATGTGTCCATAGTACACGGATGCCCCACTCGCACTATCATTTTCTATGTTCAGTGGACTATGAAATTGGGGTCAAAACTCTAATTTGGCATTAAAATTAGAAAGATCATATCATAGGAAACATGTGTACTAAGTTTCAAGTTGATTGGACTTCAACTTCATCAAAAACTACCTTGACCAAACACTTTAAACTGAAGCGGGACAGAAGAACAGACAGACGAACGAACGGACGCACAGACCAGAAAACATAATGCCCCTGCTACTCTCGTAGGTGGGGCATAAAAATAACATCTAGAAGGCAACATACAGTCTTCAACAATATACAAGTGACTACATAATATGTCAAGATCTAAATAAATTGTGAGTAAAATCTAAAATTATCCTATCTGAATATATATCAAGCTGTTTCCCGTATTAAGAAAATTCTATTTCAACGTCTGAAGTGCTTACACTAATATTCATAATATACACAAATTTAGAGTTTGTCCATAATTAAGGAAATAACATTTTCCTATATTTTTTAAGGGTTATAATAGGAAATACCTGATGTCATGGACCAAAAGAGATTGTTTAGAGAACACCGTAAGGTCAATCATCACAAAAATCAAAATAGTAAAACCCTGGAACTCGAAACTGTTGTATTCACCCCTTGAAGGTTGCACTTTGTAAATACAGCTGTTTCTCAAACCACATCTCTTTTGGGGAGATATAGAATATTCATAGATAATTAATTTTGTTTACATACTGGTTCCCAGTTATGATCTCTAGGTTTCATCTCATAGAGACATAACTTGGGAATGTTACCAGTAAATATACATATGCATATTGTCTAAATAGAAATCTGTGGTAATCCTACTGTCAAGGTAGGGATAGTTAAGAAATTTAGTGTTAGTTTAAACTCTTAGAAGTTCGGGGCATATAAACGTTGAAAATATGCCGCACAGCCCTATATTTTGACCTTTGAAAAAAATTGTAGTGCATATGAACTTTCCATTCTAGGATATGATTTTTTTCAAAACTTCATAGTAAAAGTGGTACAGTTTTACCCGTAAAAGGAGTTCCTATGGGAAATTGCATTGTCAATATTTACAGAAATGCAACCTGAAAGCAAACTGATGATCACATGAATAGCTACAGCAATAAATTCCTCAAAAATTTACCTTGTTCTGGATGATTGAACCTAAAGACATGATGTTTGCCAAGGATTACTCTCGCACCAGTCTTCATGTCCATGGCCTCGTCCACCTTCCTACCATTAACATAACAAAGAGCTCCTTCACATGGTTTCAATGTTACAGTTCCTGTTAAAGATATATATAATATGACTCATGTCAAACAAAATGGCTGTTTGGGATTAAAAAAAAATTTCATGTTCAATCACTGATACTGTTCCTATTAAAAAAATTGATTATAAAGTATATGTTTAATATGAATATAACAAAATGTAAAACCTGCCTTTTCTGTCACCATTATCATTCATCATTTACAAAACTGCTAATACATTGTTGGGGGTAGTTTCAGAAATACATTGTTGGGGGTAGTTTCAGAATATTGTTAATAAACAAAACTTTATTATTTTATTCTTCAATATTCTGACCATCTTTTTAGTATTTCAATTGAACAGACAAGACTTGTAGATGTTATACTTCTAACTTATCTATATTTCTTGTCCTTATATAGCTATATATATAAATACAGAACAAATAAAAAATAAACGAGAATAAAAGGAGAAATTGTCAGAGGACACGAATGCACCCAATCAAGCTTTGCAATGAAAATGGGATGAACAGGCCGTCAAGGGTAACACTTAATGCCCCTGTCGCCTACGACAGGGGCATAAAAATACTAAAACTAAGAGATACAGATACATTGCTCTAGCTCAAAAAAGTTTATTTCAATATCTCTTCTTAAAAATCAAAGATGTTAATGAAAGAGATGAAGGAGGATTTTGGTATTTGTAAGGCAATGAAAATTAACATTGTATAGTCATAATAGTGGTTGAATATATTTTTAGAATGCAAATTCTCACATTTTTTATTAAATTTACAGTGGTGGTAAAATAAAGTGCTAAATCCCCCTCCCCTTTTTGTACCCATACAAATCCCCCTCCCCAAAGAATAGCCCTTAAGGTTGAAAATAATAACACCTAGTATCTTAACTTACCATCTTTCCATTCGAAATAACAATGCAAGTCCAGTATAGTAGTACTTGTGAGTTGTATGTCCTGATGACCCCCTCCACCTACTTTGGTCGTCCCTTGTTTTATGTAGTACAAAAGACATTCAGACATTAGGGGGTCTTCATTCAGGTTAACTAGATGTGGGGTCTACAAGTAAATATAAGCATATACTGTAAATTCAGAAATCATTGCCAGCATTTATTATTGCAATTTTTGAAGAATGAACAAAAATGCGAGTTTAAAAATTGCGATTTTAGGAAAAGCTACATACAAATGTATGTATTTGATATCAGAATGCAAGTTCTTATTATTGCAATACTGAAGAAGACGCATTATTTGCATTAACAAAAACCTTGCAATAATTTCTAAATTTACAGTATTGTATCCTGTATGTCAATATTTCAAATCACACTATGTTTGTATTTATTGGCTACCTCTATTATATGGAAAAGTTTAAAACCTTAAAATTAACACTTTTTTCGTAAGATTACAAAAAAGCAACATTCATGAATCTAAGTCCTTTCACTATATTCATAAGCATGTTTTCAAACTAGTAAAAAAACTTTTCCAATGCCCTAACAGGGTCTCCTGTTTGACTTTAAACATTACTGATATCATTATCTTTTTAATCTAAAAATGTTACCTTTTTAGGTGAGAATACACCAATAGTGGCTCCATCTTCTTTTAATGCCACACCCATTTCTTCTAACACTTTCTCTCTGAAATGAAGAATAAAGTGAGAATTTCATTTAAATTAGTACTTAATTGGATAACAGCCAAATACAATTAAGTACCAACAGTACTATTTCGTCCATTTACACTGTTAATTTGAGTAATGTCGTAAATTCAATGAAAAAATTATGTTCCTGAAGTCATGTTTAATTGTATTTGACTATTACTCCATAAACTTCACATCAGAGATATCTGTATAAACTTGACTGTGGATTTGTTCATTTTTGTTGCCATCAATTTTCATGGTTGGAGAGTAATTTGCTAATCTAAGAGTGCATTTGTTTCTAACCCTATGTCAATGACTTTCGTTCAGTTAACACTAAACTGCTAGAAACAAATACATTGTTTAATGACATTTATCAACCTTGCCTAGTGAGACAGAAATAGAAAACATACATGTACGGTAAACAAACCGGTAAAAGTGTGGGAAATGAATGACAAGGACTTAATAAAAAACATGTGCTCGTAATTAATTTAACTATAAATGCAAAAGCAAATGCATCGTTTATACGTCTTGACGATAAACAATCAACAACTATGCGACTATTTTGTGTGTACATCGTTTATGTGAACGATGTCAACGTTGACCAAAAAATGTAAGAAATAAATGGATTAAACCACTACGCGGGTAAACAAATGCTCTTATAGAGTACCTAGCTTTGAGATTTCATTTGCATTTCTTATAATGTAGATTCATTTATTTCCATGGATACCAACATTTGTGGATCCAGGAAAAATTGTAATTTCATGGATATTTGATTTTGTGGTTTGACAAAGTCTGCGTACAAGCCTAAAGAATATTAGTACTTTGTTGAACATCGAAGTTTGTGGTTTTCATGTACACACAAAATCCAGGAAAATTGGTACACAAGGAATAATAATGAATCCATTGTAATATCTAAATTCATGGTAACTTCCACAATAATCAGTAGCCATCTAATATCAATAAATCAACAGTATTGAAAAATTATCAGTTAGATATCAATTCAAAATAAGAAATGACAAACCTGTCTTTCCTTATTTCATCTGTTTTTTTCAGTTTTTCCTCCCACGATTGGTTAAGTTCTGCTATCAACTTCTCGGACATTTGAAGTCTTTCGTAAGCATCTTCCTTTTCATCCAGAGCAACTGACTGCTTTCTAGATCTGGTTCCTTCCTTCTTAGCTATTGTACCTTCAAATTTGAATGGAAGAATTTGTTAACTTTTATGACATATTTTACAACTGTTTGTTCACCTCTCTGAATAGACCTTATCGCTATTTGGAAATCTGCCCTTCTTGACCCAAGAATCTGTGCCTCTTGAACTATTGACGTCATACAACAATCACTTTTCCATTGTGGCGTCATTTATTTACTATTGTGACGTCAAAATTTTACAGGACCCTTTGTGATGTCCATTAATGGCGGACAAATAACGATAAGGTGCATATACTTAAAATTAGGTGCAGGTTAGTGTAACGCAAGTTATTTCTATGCATTTAACAATTTTGACATGCAAATAAACAGTTCTTTCAATAATTTTATAAGGAAAAGTTTATTGCTGAAATAGTACAACATTTAGAAGTACTGTTAAAGTATTACTTTATGACACCACCCAAATTCAAACTTTGATCTGTGTTCTATGGTAATAAGCATTGTGTACAAGTTTTTAACATTTGGTTGAGGCAAACAAAAGTTATAGAACGGAAACTAATTTTGGGACGTATGTACAGACGGACAAGGATAACACTGAATGCCCCCTCTGTCGCAACGGGGGCATAAAAAGTGCACTTGTAAGAAGTTTTTGTACAACCTACCTTCTTCAATTTCAATACCCTCATGTTGTAAGATTTCCCTTAGTTTGGCTACTTCTTCCTTCAACTCTCTGATAAGTCTGGCATTAGGATCTTCATTAACAACAGCTTTACACATGATCTGCTTGGCTCTGTCAGCATATCTGTAGCAATAAAACAGAAAAGAATTTAAAATCAAGTATAAATTATTTAGCATGTTACTGTAAATTCAGATATTCAAGCATTTATTATTGTGATTGTTGAACAATGGAGAAAAGTGTGAGATTAAAATTATTCTGATTTCATTAATTTGCTTAATACAAATTTTTCATGAGTCCAAGACTCATCCATTTGTTTTAGGGCTGTTCCATAAAAACATACATGGGACCAAGGGAAGGCACTTTGAAATCTCTACTATGGGTTGGTGTCAAGTACAGTGGAAATTTAATTGAAATTATAAATTTGCCTCTTTAGGTGGGTACCCCATTAAGAAACTGCCTTCCCTTGGTACCGTGTATGTTTTGTATGGAACAGTCCTTAGTGAGAACCTTGCCACACATCTCATTTTATTCATTTAATATCTTGTATTTTCATCATTTAATGGAATAATAAACATAAATCAAAACAGAAGCAGCCTTCTATGTAGATATATTCAGATAAATGTTGTACAACTTATATTTTCTATTGGTCATATTTTAAAGGGAAAAAAAACATAGTGTCTCAAATATTTGTCTTCAAGATAATAGGCTAAATTTGTAAAACTCATCAAAAATATTCATTAAAGAGCAACAACTCATAATACAAGGCAAAATTAGAGTAGTTAATTATTAATGACACATTTTGGTAATCAGATGTACAAATTTGTGGGAAATCTCAAGCTTTACAACATGACAGCCTCCGTAAAAATGGTAATGCGCAAGTTTGAATGTTGGTCAAAATAAATGTGGATAGTGTCCACATGTGGACACAGATGATGCCACTGCTTGCATATCATAATAGTTATAAAGGGACATAACTGAAGAACGCTAAAAGTGACGCTACCCAAATTTGAACTTGATCTGAGTTTTGTGGTAATAAGCATTGTGTGTAAGTCTCATAACATTTGGTTGAGGCTAACTTAAGTAGAGAACAGAAACTAAAAATTCAGCAATTTTTCTATTTGTAAACACGCATTACTCTAGAACGGTTGTGTATAAGTTTTATAACATTTGGTTGAGACAAACTAAAGTTAGAGAACGGAAACGAAAAATTCAGCAATTTTTATGTTTAGAAAGGGACATAACTCAAGAATGGTAAAAGTGTCGCCACCAAATTTCGTACTTACTCTGTATTATGTAGTAATAAGCATTGTGTATAAGTTTCATAACATTTGGTTGAGGCAAACTAAAGTTAGAAAACGGAAACAAAAAAATTGTACTTGATCTTAGTTTTGTGGTAATGAATATTGTGTATAGGTTTCATTATGTTTGGTTGGGGCAAACTTAAGTTACAGAATGGAAACTAAAAATTTTGCAATCTTTCGATTGATAAAGGGGCATAACTCAATAATGGTTAAAGTGACACTACCCAAACTCAACTTGATCTGTTTTATCAGTGGAAGTCAAAATTAAACATTGCATAATATAAAGCATTGATTGTAGTTGATTCAACTATAATCATGGACAAAGGAAGATAACTCCAATTTTAAAAATTACTTGATATTTAGAAGAAAATAAAAATTTTGCAATTTTTCCATTAATAAAGGGGCATAATTCTAGAACTGTTAAAGTGACGCCACCAAAATTCAAACTTGATCTGTGTTTTGTGGTAATCAGCATTGTGTATGAGTTTCATAACATTTGGTTGAAGCAAATTTAAGTTAGAGAACGGAAACTAAAAATTTTGCAATTTTTCCATTGATAAAGGGGCATAACTCTAGAACGGTTATAGTGATGCCATCAAAATTCAAACTTGATCTGTGTTTTGTGGTAATAAGCATTGTGTATAAGTTTCATAACATTTGGTTGAGGCAAACTTAAGTTAGAGAATGGAAACTAAAAATTTTGCAATTTTTCCATTTATAAAGGGGCATAACTCTAGAACGGTTAAAGTGATGACATCATAATTCAAACTTGATCTGTGTTTTGTGGTTATTAGCATTGTGTATAGGTTTCATAACATTTGGTTGAGGCAAACTCAAGTTAGAGAACGGAAACCAATTTTGGGACGTACATACATACGTACAGACGGACAAGGGTAAAACTTAATGCCCCCACCGCTACGGCGGGGGCATAAAAATTAATGATTTTGGATTCACTTATTTATTGATTTTTCTACTGTTATGAGGACCCATCCTCCTTCATAAGGGGTCATGTAATCATTACAGTCATATTAGCATTTCTATAAATCTTGTAGATTTATAATTTAACTTCCACCAGTTTGATTTGCCCAGAGTATGTGTAAACTTACCTTAGAGTACTAAGAATTTCATCATAGTTTAACCTGCCATGAGTATATGTAAACTTACCTTAGAGTACTAAGAGTTTCATCATAGTTTAACTTGCCATGAGTATGTGTAAACTTACCTTAGAGTACTAAGAGTTTCATCATAGTTTAACTTGCCATGAGTATGTGTAAACTTACCTTAGAGTACTAAGAGTTTCATCATAGTTTAACTTGCCATGAGTATGTGTAAACTTACCTTAGCGTACTAATAGTTTCATCATAGTTTAACTTGCCATGAGTATGTGTAAACTTACCTTAGAGTACTAAGAGTTTCATCATAGTTTAACTTGCCATGAGTATGTGTAAACTTACCTTAGCGTACTAAGAGTTTCATCATAGTTTAACTTGCCATGAGTATGTGTAAACTCACCTTAGCGTACTAAGAGTTTCATCATAGTTTAACTTGCCATGAGAATGTGTAAACTTACCTTAGAGTACTAAGAGTTTCATAATAGTTTAACTTGTCATGAGTATGTGTAAACTTACCTTAGAGTACTAAGAGTTTCATCATAATTTATGTCTGCTGGACTCAAAGCTGCTATCATGGCTGTCTTGGAATTTCCACCTGATAAACAAAATTATTTTTGGTTCATTAAAAAATAGACCTTAACACTATTTAGGAATCTGAGACACTTGACCCTAAGAATTTGTGATACTTTAACTATTGACGTCTTACAATAATCACTTTTCCTCTGTGGCATCGGACATTTTCTCTTGTGACTTATGGGAAAGTCTGTGATGTGTAGCAATGGTGGAAAAATAGCTATATTTAACATTTCAAAGTATAAAGGACTTCTGTGATGTCCAACAAAGGCTGACAAATAGCGATAAGGCGTATTCAACCTTTCAAAGTATGAAAAACTCAAGAGACTTGTTTCACTGTTTGTAAACTACAAGAAAAATAAGTAGCATCATTGGATAGAACATTCCCATTGTTTTTAACATTATCAACCAACCACAATGTTTTGAAAATGCATTCCAGTTGATAATTTTATTTTTGTTCACAAGATTACTTTTTCTGCCTGTAAATGTCGATTATTTTTAAATATTTTACCTAAATTTTCCCTTAACAGCCAATGTTTTGAAGTATATTTTTTTATAAAGCTTTCCAGTTGATCATTTTTTTCTAGTTAGAATAATTTTTTTCCCTTGTAAATATCTTGGTGACATTTAAATGTTTTACCTAAATTTTCTCTCAGCAGCCATGTTAGTACAGAATCCCTGTAGGGTATGAAGTTATCCTTCTTTTTCTTTTTTGTAGCCTTTAAAATTAAAACAAAAGTCAACATTGGATATTCCACAAAATTACCAAAAACATTATATTTTGCTTGTGGAAAATAACTTCTCAATGATACACAAAAAAAAGTTAAGATATTATGGTCTGCACTTCTACTTGGTCAATTCCTTACTATCATTTTCCTAAAATTGAATGGCCTCCCAAACAAAGTACTGTAAAATATGAACTTAATAAAAAATGGTAAATATACAACAGGCCACCTCCCCATTCCAGCTAATCAAATATTTTATCCATTCTAATTTACCAATATTAAATGAAAACGTTTTTTGGTACTGAAATTATTTGTACCCGATTTGATTTCATCAATACTGTGTGATTTGAAAATTTCTCTACAACTTAATTGTTCTTTATGAACAGATTGCCATTTAATCCCATTTGAGCCGTATGTAATTGAGATGGAGTGCATTATTATAATAAACTGGGCTTCAAGTGTTTGAAACTGCATGATTGTAACTAACAAATCAAATATCAAAACTTAATTCAATATTTATCTTACAGTTGTACACTTACTACAGTTGAACTTGGGTAGCTTGGACACCAATAAATTTTACATTATAGCAATTTTTGTCAACTTTTTTCCCCTATTTAATGCTTATCCAGCTTTTAAAAAGTAAATCAGTAACTAGAATAATGTAAAATTTCCATTAGAGCTAATTTACTAATGCTTGTAGATTGAGACTTTGGTTGTCTTGCTTGCTTTGTTTGTATAAACGTTTGCTCTAGCATTGTAATTAAGACTGACATCTGCAACCAATATAAATAGGCGGAGTTAAACCTGTATACATTATACTTAAATTTGACTGGATCCTCAGATAGGAATCTAAAAATAATGTATACAGGTTCAACTTCGCCTATTTATATTGTTTGCAGATGTCAATCTTAATTACAATGCTTGAGCAAACATTCATACAAACAAAGCAAGCAAGCCAACCAAAGTCTTCCTCTACACGCATTAGGAAATTAGCTCTAATATTGGGTTCTGTTTGCTAGCAAAGTAAAACTGTAGTTCATGAAACATACAACATTGAAAAGTGAAAGGGAAAACCATATCTGACGCAACATTTCATAAATTAATTAGTTCACTTTAATTTGACTCAATACTGAGATCTATTTTCCAAATAAAGTCTCAGAAGAGGCAAATAATTGTGTCATTTCCTAAAATTAGTTCCTTTTCACAATTTCAATTAGTGATCGTCAAAAAATCCCTTTTAGAAAACATTTAAAATTATAGCATATTAAATATGAAGTTGTTTTAATTCAGCCGATTTTCAGAGCTAATATTTTTTTTTTGCCAAATTCTTTCAGCATACTTTAATTTTTAACACAAAAAAAGTGCAACATTCTCTCTCCAAGTTCCAATTTTATTTGAAAAGTTGGAAGAGATGCTAGGGTTTTTTTTTATAATGTCTTCATAGCCCAATTTTTAAGCATTTAATAAGAGCAAAGTCACTTTGTAGATCAGATATGGTACTTTGCATGAAAATAGTCAAGGTGACAGGACTTAAAGATTAGCTTACACTAGATTGCATTAAAGCTATGAAACTATAACATCACAAGCTTAGTCTAATTGTATCTTCTTCATTTGTATTGCCATGCAAAATATGAAATTGACCTTTGCAAAATAAATCTTAAAATTCTGACATAAAACTTTGAATCTCAACTGCTGAATAATCTTTGAAACAAACTGAGGCATGACATTTAAAATAGAACAATCATCAGAAAAACTCAGAATATGACCAATCAGAATTTCAAAATTAAAAGAATTCTGAAGACATTATTTTTTTATATTATAAAATCATGCCACACTGGCTATCATGATGGTTTAAAGTTCATATCTTTCCATAAAAGGTGATATGTTAGAAAATATAAAAACAATCTTCTTAATGAAATAACTGGGCATTTTTTCATTCCATCATCATAGTGCAGTGATTAAGTAACAACATACATTCTGAAACTACCCCCATAAAACATCAATCAATAATTATTACCAGCAGATCATAATGAATCATGAAAGACCACTTCAGTATTCAAATTTAGCCATATAAATTTCATTGCTCAGCCTTACGAAGAGCCCTAGTAAATAAAACCTTAACCAATGAAATAATAAAAATACAATGCCATTCCCACAATGCAACATTTTTTTCTAAATTGGTCATTTCTGAGTTTTTCTATCCAACTATTGACCTGTTGACTTGTTTTGTTACACTTACTGATAATTTGTTATCCAGGACACTCTAAAAATTGAAACAATTCAAGTAGTACACAAATTTTTACAATATTGATATGTATCCTGAATGGATTTCATGTCTTTAAAAGTACTCAATAATCTGTGATAGTATTAAGAAAGTGAATATTTTGTTGAAATTAAAACAGGTTACAAACTTTTTTAAGTAAAATATTGCAATATAACCTGCACAAAAGGGAAGTAACTCTTACTGCATTTGTAGTACAAATAGATTGATTATATAGTGTATATATAAGCTTAGATATAGAAGAAACCAAGCTAAGTCGCTTGTGCCATGACTAATGAACTGCAATAAATTAGCTGCATTACATATTTAGTTTTATCTTCTGAAATATTTCTTTTGTTACATTTCAGTTTTAACAGTCGTAACAAATCATTTAACAGCATTGTTAATTCTCCATCATAAATAATGACGATTACATTTTTTTCAGCACTATTTTTGAATAATTTTGCAACTCATTTAACATTATTCTCAATTCTGATCATGAAACAGGGCGATCACTATATGTACTATACGTTTAACACTAAATTTTACTTATCAAGAAAAAGAGAAAGTATCTTAATTCAAATTCACCAGTAACCAATAATTAAACATTACAATTTATCAAAAATGTTTACATCAAAAAGTCAAAACAAAGTAACGTTTAAATGTCCGGTTGTACAAAATTGAAAGACTAAATGGATATGAAATGCTATGACCTTACCATTTTTTCTCAAGATTACATCAGATATGAACACTTACACATTCAGCAAGCGCTGAGATAACTTTTCCGAGTGTTGTCAATGACTTGTTTATATTAGCACCTTCTTTCAGTCTAGTTCCAGTAGCACCTGTTGAATCAGCTCTTTCACTTCCTGCTAAATCTACCAAACTTATCTTACTGACCTACAACATAAATCAAAAGTACCAGTTTCAGAGTTCTCAAAATATTTTTTTCTCTGGTGATCTGATGGTCCTTGAAGAAAATTTGCTGGTCACCATTATTTTGCAAAATACAGAAATTGTGTTGGTCAAAACCTTTGAACCACAACTTTTTGAGAACTCTGCCAGTTTTACAGCTAAATTACTTCAATAAGCAGTCATTACAGGAAATGTATCTTTGCTTATTTGTTTACTTAACCATGAGTATTTTATCAGAAATAACCAAAATACAAATTGTCAATGTAAAAATAAGTAGATGTGGTATAACTGCAAATGAGACAATTAGCAATCAGTGACTTAGGACAAGGATGCTATAGGTCACCGTAGGGTCTTCAACAATGAGCAACACCCATACTGTATAGCAAGCTATCAAAGGTCCTGGCATGACAAAATATGACACAATTCAAAGGAGAAACTAATGGCCTGATTTATATGTCAATAAAACTATTACCTTTTCACCAGTAAGATTTGTGGTTGCATCATGTCTTTTCTGTGTTAATATTATTGTAAATACAGCATGTGATCTACTACTTGTTTCATTCATGTTGGTGGCCGCCACAGTTCTGCAAAATTAAAAGTAAAAATTTATCAATTAAAGGTTTATTGAAACAACTTCAAAAGGGTATACTTTTGACCAAAAATTGGAATAGTCATGTGTCATTTTGACCAGAGGTCCACTGATTAACAAATTCACACAAGCAACTTTATACCCATAAGATACTATAAATTCAGAAATTTTTTTATTCTTAAAATTGCAATGGGGTAGGTTCCGTCAAAATACAAATTTATATTTTGAATTTTTAAAGCCTAATTTGTATGCAGCATTTCTTGAAATTGAATTAATTAATCTTGCATTTTTGTCAGTGGTTCAACATTATTTCTTGAAATAGAATTAATTAATCTTGCATTTTTGTCAGTTGTTCAACATTGCAATAATAGATGCACTTAAAAAAATTAAGAATTTACTGTAGTTATTGCTTCTTATTTGATTAAAATTATAATATGATATTGAAATGCTATTATTGTCTGGCCTAGTCAAGAACACTGTCTCTCTAAAAAATGAGTGTCTGGTTTGTGTGGGTATAAGAGATCGAGATAATGTCCCTTATGTGATCTCACATATTTTTAAGATCATTATTAAAGGGCGCAATCCGAAATGTTGTTAATATCCATGAACGTACCACAAATGATGACCTACAACTTGTAATTACTGGAGTTTCACCTGACATTTTCAACAAATGACAAAGTTTTTTCCCTGAATTCTTGTGGCAAAAAAGGGTGTGCCGATTAATTATAATACAAATTATACATAACTTTTTACAGTATTTACATTAATAAAATCATTCCCTCTTGTAAATTGAAATCATTCCCTTCATGTCAATTTGATCTTTAAGGAAAAAAGTAAAAACATGAAAATAAAACCTTGCAAACAGGTTTGCATGAAAAATTATGAATCTTAATTTCTGCAACAACAACAAAACAAGAACGTGTCCATAGTATACAGATGCACCACTCGCACTATCATTTTCTATGTTCAGTGGACCGTGAAATTGGGGTCAAAACTCTAATTTGGCATTAAAATTAGAAAGATCATATCATAGGGAACATGTGTAATAAGTTTCAAGTTGATTGGACTTCAACTTCATTAAAAACTACCTTGACCAAAAACTTTAGCCTTAAGCGAGACAGACGGACGAACGGATGGACGGACAAATAAACAGAGGCACAGACCTAAAAACATAATGCCCCTCTACTGTTGTTGGTGGGGCATAAAAACACTTTACAGTATAACAATTTCATTAATAGACTGATCGCTCTTTCTAAAGGTATAAATCATTTAATTTAGTTTTACATTACTATAAAGAAGCATGCCATAATTTTCTATCAATTTTTTTTTGTCTTCCTCTTAAGTTTCTTTCTATGGATTTTCTGACTTAAGAAAGACTTCTACATAACTCTTTTATACAACTGCTTTGGAAATATTATGCCGGTAATATATTTATGCTATAGCTTTTAAATAGATAAATGAATTAAAGATATGAATATGATTTTGATTAATTTAGCAAATGCCAAAAGTGTTTTCAAGTAGGAGTTGAATATCTAAAAGTACAATTTATTATTCTGAGATAAAAATGCTTATTATATTAATTTCCATAAGGCAGATGTAATGCTGTTTCATGCAGAAATCATAATCAATTTAAACTTGTTTCAATAATCCTAAAGGACTAACTTAATTTTATAACATTTTACCAAAATAAACACAAATTGCAAAAGTGCCACAATCAAGCAAATATTTGTCTCATCCTTCCTTTATCATCTAAAAGCTTAAATCTTAAGTCCTGTATCATATCAATCTGTTTCTCAGTCATTAGCACTATCAAATATCATTTTGAAAAAAGTCCCAGCATTCATTTCTGTCAATTTAAAAATAAGAAGATGTGGTATGATTGCCAATGAAACAACTCTCCACCAGAGGCCAAATGACAAAGAAACTAACAACTAAAGGTCACTGTACGGCCTTCAACTATTGCACTACAATTTACATCTTATTTCAATATTAAATCTTAGCCATTGTTTAAATTCTATGATGTTATCAAAAAACTGTGACATTAAAACTGCTATGATCATGCAAACATGTAGTATGATTAGTGAAATTTGTGTAAAAGGAACTCTTGTTCAAGATATACAGTGAAAATTCTAAAATAATAAAATTTATGTAAACTGCACACATCTAAAATGAACAGAAACTTCAGTCCCAAAGAGATACAGTTTAGACGGTTGTAATCCTGTCGGATGTCTTGGAGGTGAATAAAGATGAGTAGTATTACATTATTCAGTATCGAAAAGGTTTGGTTTAGACAGGTGTATTTTTTCATAGGTCTTGGAGGTGAAAAGACGAGTAGTACTACATTATTTAACAGATGTAACCAATTGTTTCTTACATATATATGTACAACTTCAATAGACTCTGGCTAAAATGTTAGCAAAAAAATCCCATTATCTGATTTTTTCAATTAGACAATAAATGTATATTCATTGAATCTTCTGCAATAATAAGTTGACCTAATCCTGAGATGTTACTAGCCCTGACCACTGCTATATAAAAGGGTTATAGTGATTTTTTTCAGTTTTTTCTAGGACAAGGCCATTATTCTTCCTTTTTTTTTGATTTTCAGACCTTTTTCTTCTTTATGTCATACCCACCTTGCCTTATTTCCTTCATCAATAAGATTATTGATATCATCAAAGGATTGCACAGCCAGTTTTGACAGGTCCTCCACATAGGGACCAAGTAAGGGATGTTCACGGACTTTCAGGTTGTTCTTGTTGCTAGGGTTCAGTAAATCTCTAACTCTCTCACAATAAATCTCCATGTAGCTAACCTAAAATGACAAAAGTATTTTGTTCTTATTACTTGGGTTCAATAAATCTCTAACTCTCTCACAATAAATCTACATGTAGCTAACCTGAAATGACAAAAATATATCTGTCCAATTGAATATTATTTCAGAAATATTATTAAACTTGATTGCAGATTGTTTAAGGTTTCAGCTTTTTGGTTTTTGGCACTATAAAAATGTCTGACTCTGTGTGCACACATTTTTAGTATGAAATGTTTCTGTTTTTGTCCATGCTTTTAAACTCCCAAAAATTACAAAAAAAAAACTAATTAATTCTTCACATGCTTCAGTAAATGTATATGTATAGTAATAAATTGCACTTTCTAAGTTTCCATTTGTCTTTAATTATAATAAATAATGTCAGGGCCAATAGCTTTGCTTTTAATGACAAAGGTCACCAACCTTTGACATGACAAACAGAGCAATTTTCAGACTAAAGAGGAAATTATACTAAGATCATATTATCTCTAATCAAACAATTTTACTAGAATTACCTCAAAATAGTCATCATATGACATCAAATCATGTCCATTATACAAATTAATCTCCATTAGTTTTACTACGAGTTTACATTAAATTCATGGGATTATTTGTTTGCAGATCATATGGCCTAACGAAGACAAATCAACATAAACATGAAAATTCAAAAACAAGACATTAAAAGACAACATATGGAATAAATTTAAGACCTGTACTTCCTTGTGATTCTAATAATTGTTTTGACAAACTTATTCCAAATCTCAAGTCTCAATTCTGAGAATTGGCCTTTATATATTTTATTAATTGTGTTATCCAAACTGAGCTCTTTTAAGAAAACATGAAATTACCTACTGCAATTTTCCTTTCATATTACATCATGCTGATTAAAAGGTTTCTGTACTATGATTGTAAAAAGATGTTTTAAATTGAGATGAATTAGTGGTGCATACATTTTATGGGGGAGAGGTAGGGGGCAGGAGGGTTCTTTATTTTTTAAATTTTACTTAATAATTTTTCGCACCATGATGTATTGACTTTGTTACTCTTTCTATCTTTATAATAACACAAGAGTGCACACGCTGAAATGTCTCGCCTTCTTTACTAATCACTGATATTATGTTGATAGTCCTAATATAAAGCTTTATTACAACTGTCACATAAACTTAACATTAACCAAGAAAACTAAACATTGACCAATGAACCATGAAAATGAGGTCAAGGTCAGATGAACCATGCCAGGCAGGCATGTACAGCTAACAATTCTTCCATACAACAAATATAGTTGACCTATTGCTTATAGTTTAAGAAAAGCAGATCAAAACACAATAAAATGCTCCGCAGGGCGCAGCTTGATACGACCGCAGAGGTCGAACCCTGAACAGTTGGGGCAAGTATGGACACAACATTCAAGCTTGATACAGCTCTGAATTTGGATTGTGATTAAATATTTGACACAGCATAGGTTTCTGGCAGAATGAATGTGGTCTAAGAACTTAAAAATTTTAAATTGGACATTCACCTATTATGGTCCAATATCCAAAATCTAAATACATGGTTAGATTCAGCATATCAAAGAACCCCAAGAATTCAATTTTTGATGAAATCAAACAAAGTTTAATTTTGGACCCTTTTGACCTCAATGTGGACAAAGTTGATAATGGGGCCCAAAAATCAAAAATCTAAATACATGGTTAGATTCAGCATATCAAAGTACCCCATATATTCAATTTTTGTTGAAATCAAACAAATTTTAATTTTGGACCCCGATTTGGACCAACTTGAAAACTGGGCCCATAATCAAAAATCTAAATACATGTTTAGATTCAGCATATCAAAGAACCCTAAGAATTCAATTTTTGTTAAAATCAAACTAAGTTTAATTTTGGACCCTTTGGACCTTAATGTAGACCAATTTGAAAACGGAACCAAAAATTAAGAATCTAAATACACAGTTAGATTCGGCATATCAAAGAACCCCAATAATTCAATTTTTGATGAAATCAAACAAAGTTTAATTTTGGACCCTTTGGACCTGAATGTGGACCAATTTAAAAACGGGGCCCAAAATCCAAAAACTTAATACACGGTTAGAATCAGCATATTTAAGAACCCCAAGAATTCAAGAATGAAACCCCATTGAAATTGGTCAAGAAATAAGCAACTTATACGAAGTATCTTCTTTTGCACAATACTGTGCAATTGAATATTTCTTGCAATTGCACAATACTGTACAATTGACAATTTCTTGCTATTGCGCAATATTGTGCTATTGGATATTTCTTGCTATTGCACAATACTGTGCAATTGAAGATTTCTTGCTATTGCGCAATACTGTGCAATTGAAGATTTCTTGCTATTGTGCAATACTGTGCAATTGAAAATTTCTTGCTATTGCACAATACTACCATATCATTATTATTTGCTTTTAAATATAAAACAGAGAATTAACCAACTTAAAATGGAAAATTTTAAAAGAAAAAAAAAAGGAAAAAAAGAAAAAAAGGAAAAAAAAAAAAAAATCCCCCCCCCCCCCAAATTTTTTGAACCCCCTTATGATTCATCACCCCCAAACTCAATCCCAGCCTTCCCTTTGTGGTATGGTACCTTGCAGTACAATTTCAGAGAGATCCATACACTTGAACACAAGTTATTGTCTGGAAACTAGAAAAATGCTTATTTTTGGCCCCTTTTTGGCCCCTTTTTGGCCCCTTATTCCTAAACATTTTGGGCAATTACCCCCAAACTCAATTCCAGCTTTCCCTTTGTGATATTGAACCTTGTAGTACAATTTCAGAAAGATCCATACACTTACACACAAGTTATTATCATTAAACTAGAAAAATGCTTGTTTTTTGCCCCTTTTTTGGCCCCTAATTCCTAATATTTTGAGGCAATTACCCCCAAAATCAATCCCAGCATTCCCTGTTTGATATGGAACCTTGTGGTACAATTTCAGAGAGATCCATACACTTGAACACAAGTTATTGTCTGGAAACTAGAAAAATGCTTATTTTTGGCCCCTTTTTGGCCCCTTATTCCTAAACGTTTTGGGCAATTACCCCCAAACTCAATTCCAGCTTTCCCTTTGTGATATGGAGCCTTGTAGTACAATTTCAGAAAGATCCATACACTTACACACAAGTTATTGACATGAAACTAGAAAAATGCTTGTTTTTTGCCCCTTTTTTGGCCCCTAATTCCTAATATTTTGAGGCAATTACCCCCAAAATCAATCCCAGCATTCCCTGTGTGATATGGAACCTTGTGGAGCAATGTCAGAGAGATCCATACACTAACACACAAGTTATGTCTGGAAGTTACAAAAATGCTTATTTTTGACCCCTTTTTGGCCCCTTATTCCTTAACTGTTGGTACCATAACCCCCAAAATCAATCCCAACCTTCCTTTTGTGGTATTGAACCTTATGGTAAAATTTCAAAGAGATCCATTCACTTAAACTAAAGTTAGAGTGCGAAAACCAATGTGTCTTCGGAAAACGACGACGACGACGCCAACGTCATACCAATATACGACCAAAAAATTTTTAATTTAAAAACTTAACACTGAGCAATGAACTGTGAAAATGAGGTCAAGGTCAAATAAAACCTGCGCGACTGACATATAGATCATGAAATATTTCCATACACCAAATATAGTTGACCTATTGCATATAGTATTAGAAAAAAGACCAAAACTCAAAATCTTAACTTTGACCACTGAACCATGAATATGAGGTCAAGGTCAAATGACACCTGCCAGCTAGACATGTACACCTTACAATCATTCCATACACCAAATATAGTTGACCTATTGCTTATAGTATTAGAAAAACAGACCAAAACAGAAAAACTTAACATTGACCAATGAACCGTGAAAATGAGGTCAAGGTCAGATGAAACCTGCCAGACTGACATGTATCCCTTATAATCATTCCATACACCACATATAGCTGACCTACTGCTTGTAGTATCTGAGAAACGGACCTAATCACGTAACTTTAACCTTGATCACTGATCCATGAAATGAGGCTGAGGTCAGGTGAACCCTGTCTGATGGACATGTAGACGTTGCAAGGAACCCATATACCAAATATAGTTATCCTATTACTCATAATAAGTGAGAAATTTACATAACAAAAAAACTAAACTTTTTTTTCAAGCAGTCGCTGAACCATGAAAATAAGGTCAAGGACATTGGACATATGACAGACGGAAAGTTCGTAACATAAGGTATCTGCATACAAAGTATGAAGCATCCAGGTCTTCTACCTTCTGAAATATAAAGCTTTATACAAATAGTTTACGCCGCCGTCGATGCCACCGCCGCCCGATAGTAATACCTATGTCTCACTTTCTGCGACTTTCGTCGCAGGCGAGACAATAAACTAGAGAATTCTTGTAATTACTTATTTTTCTTCTTTACAGTCATCAATTGTCTATCAAAATTGTCAAATTATTTAGCTTTAATATATTAAGCAGTCATCCCATTTACCCAGAGATCTACATGCCTGTCTGACATTTTCCACCAAATCCAGAAGACTAATGAGTAAGAAGCCTAAAAACTTTATTTCTGGCTATCTTCTTTTGCCAATACTGTTTTATAGTCTTAACAATATGAAACCAAATGGATATGAAAATATTTTGTCACAAACCACAGAGCAGTTAAATCATATGTCATGATGAACTACTGTAACCATTCATTTTTGATGTGCCTAATTTCTAGTTTTAAGTCACAAATTCATTTTCACAGTTTTATAATGTGATATGTGTCATAATGTGATATGAGATATGTGTGATATGAAATCACTTTTCAAGGATATTTTTTCACTCATTTGTAAGTATAGCAATTCTTAGATAACAAAATTCACAATGGAAAAATTAATTCTAAAATTAATTAAACGAATACAGTATTTTTTCCTCTACAAATGATTAATGCATTGATATCATGTCATTTCAGTGACCATATGGTTTGTTACATATTCATAAAGACCTCTCTTTGGGAAT